CAAGTAACAAAACAGCCACTTTATGATCTGTTGAAAAAAATTATTGAAAGAGAAGTACTGTAATTAAAATTGTTGCCGAGTTCAGTGAGGTTCATAAAAGCAAGACATGGGAGTGGTAGGTCCATATATGGGGTAATTATCCAGTGTAGTAATTCTATGTTTTTTCTATATGGTCTTGGGTGAGGAGTGAAGTGATTTCATGGCTGGGCAATTTCCATACATTTGTCAAAACTGTTAAAGTAAATGACTGCTGGTTGTATCTATTCTAAGGATCTCAAGAGAATCAACAAAAATGTCTCGACTCTCCACCCAAGTAATGTTGACCAAGCCATATACTTCCTACATAAATACTACACCAGATAGGAATCTACAACTCCACATTCAGTTTTTACTGATTTCACTGAATGCAGTAACAATTTTCATTATTATTTCGATAAAGTATTCTACAAACAAAAATTTAGCACTGGTAAGGGATCACCCATCACTCAGTCTTATACAATTTTTACACATTGTCCCTTGAAGATAAATGCTTATTCAGCATAATTTCAATGATCATGGCTATATTGTGTCTGACATCATGATTACACCAAAATGCTTCATAATAGCCTGAATATGGTGAAATTATCCAGTTTACAACTGATGAACTCTCCTATTTCAGGGCATCCAGACCATCAAATTAGAACTACATACATGTACTTTCAAACTACACTGGAAATCTAATAAATATTATTTTGTGCAGTCTTTTCTAATCATGACTCATGAAATAATGACACGACTGCAAACAGACCATACTATGGGCAGAGATTGAACTCATGGTGAGCGAGTCATAAAATTCCAGGCCAGCATGTAAGATACTGGGTCAGCTGGCTACAATAAGATTCATTCAACTAGGTATATTTATACACCACAGAGGTTAGCACAGGTCCCACAGTGACCACAAATGCAAGTTTATACAGATGAATCTCATGACAATGTGGCCATGATGAACTCTAGCTCTAGTCCCCTCAAAGCCATCATTGTGGCAATTGCAACGACAATTGCAAACAGTAAAATCTCAAAGCCGTCATGACAGCAGCTTTGAGGGGACTATATCCAGAGTTTGTCACAGCCACGCTGGTGGGAGATTAATCTGTAAAAACTTGCATTTGTTGTCACAGTGGGGGCTGGGCTAACCTCTCTATGGTGTATGAATATCCCTAGTTGGATGAATTTTTATTGTAGCCAGCTGGTCCAGTGCCTTATGCACTGGCCTGGAGTTTTACGACTCATTTGCCATTAGTTCAGTTCCCACCTGTGGTATGGTTTCTTTTCTAATCATGACAGGAAAATGAAATGCAGAATCCTCATTAGATTCTTTCCAAGACACCATAGATTTTTGCAGCCCTGACCTGAATTACTTAAAAAGAACATTAATGAAATTTTCCCAGTACTTTTCTCATTCGATCAGAAGATACTCTCCATACCTAACAGACTTGTAGATAAATGGTTCAGAGAACTAAGCTAATAAATTAGACACATGTAATACTTGGGTATCTTGTGGAAACGTTTTGTCATACAGTGGCTTTGTCAGTCCAATACAAAGATGGTGAAGATTAGGAGTTTGAAGTAATCAGTCCAATTTGTATTCTTAATAAGACTGATGGACTAATTATGTGGATTTCAGGCTGAGGGACTGATTGCCACAAACTCCTAATCTTCAACATTCTTCTTGGACTGATGAGGCCACTCTGTGGCAAAACATTTCCATAGTAAAGGTACCGAAGTGTTGTGCATGTGTCGAATTTATCAACCTAACAGACTTCTCATATTTCCTACAGTAAGCACAGACTTTCAAATGGTACCAATGTAGCAGCCCTCATAACCAAAACCATACAAATCATAACCAGAACAGGATTCGGTAAGCAAACTAACACCAGTGTTGGGACTATGCCATTCTTTATATGGAAAGAGAAACTATACATAGAAATATCAAAACCAGGACATAAGATCAGTAATACACTTGTAGGACCCACACTAACAATGCTTTTTTTTTATCCAAGATATTCACACCTTAGGTCACCATACTCATAAAGGTGACAGAACAAAGTTGTGATGTCTAGTAGTACATAGTAGTCATTTGTACCCTGTACACCCAAGTTGCTTTTAGTATAGCAAAACTATTAGCAGTATATTGCACCAGTCCCCCTTTGACTTTTTTGGGTTATTCTAAGTTCTTGACACACATGCTATGCATGATAATCTATACTCGCCTACTTGTGGTTGCAGGGGTCGACACTCAGCTCCTGGCCCTGCCTCTTCACTGACCGCTACTGGGTCCTCTCTCTCCCTGCTCCAGGAGTTTTATCACACCTCGTCTTAAAACTATGTATGGTTCCTGCCTCCACTACATCACTTGCCAGACTATTCCACTTCCTGACAACTCTATGTAACTGTATTTGTGTATACCTGAATAAACTTACTGCAGCAGCTCATACTATATGAACAACCCAGGCACAAGACCCACATTTCTCCCCATCATTTTCTTCAAACTTCATTGAATTTTTATCAGGCAACATCTCTGCCTACCATTGTTAACATGACCTTCACCTCTACATGGATCTGTCCCACACAGATTAATGCTCCTTTTAGGAGTATTAATACTCCTAAATGTTCCACGCATTTACAGTTCTGTTTGAAATCCGGTATGTACTTACATGAGAACACTTACACCTTCTATTAATACTCCTGAAAGGAGTATTAATAGAAGGTGCATTTATAACAAAGCAGCTCTGCTTAGAGAAAAATAATTTTCAAACAAAAGCTTGTTCTACATGTATCTTTGTTCATATACCATGATACAGTACAATTATTTTGAAAAGTGTTAAGCCCCATATGGCAAACTGTCCATCATTCACCACTACAGTCACCTGTTAAAACCAGCAGCAACTGGTGACCTAAAACACATCCAGGCTTAGCAATTTCTGTTATATATATAAATATTAATTTTGATTTATTTTTGAAGGAATATGCTAACTTCATTTGATGTATTATTTAATTGCTGATTTTGAAATATTCTGTTAAACATCAGCAATATTCAGCAAGGCCAAGACCCAGAAGCCTAAAAAAAAAAGATGCCACAAGTTTAAACAATGGATGACCTGGCAATCATTTATTTTCACTTAAGGTACACTAGTATTCAGTCTAATTATCACAGTTTCTTCATTTTAGGGAAGCCCATGTGTGCAAAAAATTTAATTTTAATTCATCAGTATGTGTGAACTCAACAGATTAAGCTAATTTCAATAACTTAGCTGTGATGAAACACCCATTATGTTTAGGGAACAAAAAATAAAAGTTCCATATAAAAATGACCAAGAAAGCTTAACTATGTACAGTATCATATTTGCATCCTGTCCATTATTATAAAAAATGAAGCACTAAATTTGCATCTTGTCAAATATACTGGACATTTTATATGCATTAAAAATTTAACAATAAACATCTCAAATAATATATCTAGCTCCTCCATGTTGATACCCCAGGTGATGGCTGATACAACTGAGCATGTCCAGGCATGCTTAACAACTAATGTTTTTGATAACCTTCAAAGTCAAATTTAATCATTCTGCTCACATTAATATTACTTCCCAACTTGTTGCACATTCACTGTTTTGGCAGTAACAGTATTTAATGCAGTGTACATAAAATATTATTAGGAGAATTTTTAAACAAAAATGCTATTTTGTGACAAACGGTATTGTAAAACTGACCTCTTGGTGTTACTCGAAAAGCATTTCATTCTTTAGTATATTCATTGTTTCACACAGTATATAATTAACAAGCTAATTTGCAACACCTGATAGGTATTGGATATGTAAAATAGTTATTTGTGGCATTCAAATAAAAATGATATTCTCTAGTCTGCTTAACTTGCTAAATATTAAAAATTCAACTTCTAATTTGCATCGATTCATGAATGTAATGCCAATATGAGAAATAATATTAACATATTATCATTAATAATATCAGCAACATAAAGTATCACAGGATTCCAAAATAGGTAGGCTTCCATACATAGCCAATTATCAAATACAGACACGAGTTACCCTAGTACCTTGGTTTCTTTACCCTTAAATAATGCATAGAGAATAGTTTAAATAATATACACACACACACATATATATATATATATATGTATGTATGTATGTTATAGTTATAGGTAGTTATCACATTTGTAGACGCAAGATCTTAGTGTGTAAATTATTACCATTAAAGGGAATGTATGTACAACATTTGGAAATCACAAAATTCTATAAGCTGAGGCACGGCAGCAACAAAGTTTTAATGTTGGTGAATAGGAGACCATACAACATAGCATGTACAGTATCAACATAAGTATTAAATACAATTTTACAGAATGATTAAGGACATGAGAGGATTTAAATAATGTTTGGCAAATAAATATTGACTTTTTACTTATTATGACATAATATCATAAGCAAACCATACAGATATGTTATTTCTTCATATTAAAAGTTAATGAAATTAAGCCATTGACTTTAAAAGAAATCCATATACAGTATTAAAAAATGAATGTAGTTTACAAGTGTTTTAATGTTTCAGACAATTAGCAAAGCTGTCACTGGTGAAACTTGCACCAGTAAACCAATGCATGTCTATGAAACTAAAAGAAAAAAATTGAAAAACAGTAATTTGTCAAATACAGAGCTTATTGGTATGATTGTTTTTTACTTTAATAATTGCTTCAGTTTTTCTTGGTACACTCACTGTTTTACAGTTAATCTCAAGTTTTATCAAATAATACCAAGACAAATATTCATAGTTTCACTACCCGTTGCTTAATTTAGATACATTCAATTTACCTACAACCATAAAATGCTGTGAAAACTAAAATTTTTAGAAATTAAATATTTAAAAAAAGTTTAAAAAAAAAATGAATTTGATATACTACATGTTTAAATAGACGGAAGATGAACTTCTGTATGCATTTCATAAACCTAATTATTTTTATAAAAATACACAATAAATATTTATGTACTAAATATCTTTTTCTTGTTTGTACATGATTGTCTTATTTTCAGTAGTCACAGTACCGTGACGAACATAACTACATAATCATGACACTTGCTACAGTTAAACTGTAGATCTAATGTTATATACACATGTATACTCTCATAGTACTGTATTGATAATGCATAACAGGCAATTTGAGAAATAGGACTTGTATTGCACTTTTGTTGAGTGAAAGGCACCTACTTGTCAATGTATTTTATGATTATCATTTAAAGTGCAACATGTACAAGAAAACTAGGAATAACAGGACCTATGTTTTGTCAGATAAATGATGAAGGAGAATTACTTCACTAGAGAGAGTCCAGGTTGCCCGATGTAAGCTTAGATGCGTATAGATTGATTACCTAGAAAAGATAAATACATAATTATTTTACCATAGAATGTTGCTGGTACAGCACCTTGCAATTTTTTATTTACTTTTGGCTTAGCTAAAATCCTAGCACTTACGACATGTACCATTACAGTATTAACCCATAATTAAGCAGCATTCCCAACCTAACACTAACCATAAGACAAACATTGCTCCTCTACTTGCACAATGGTTTGTAATGCAAATATTTAAAACCACTCTACTTACTCTGTAGATGAAAGCATACTGCTCCTTAGTCTGAACAGCACCTGCTCGGTCTCTTCTGATAGAATACACTGTCCTAGGAACATCTACACTGCGTTGGTCCTCAAACTGTCTCATAACAATGTCACATGCCAAAAATGTACCTGTACGGCCAGTTCCTGGGCTGCAATGAAAAATAATCATCTCAGATACAGAAAATAGATAGCCAGCAGAAAATATAATGTACTCTACACCAAAATTTTACAATGGACACAGAACATTTTTCCTTTGAGATACAGTAATAACAGTTTACTCAAACTATTGAAGCACAGACACTGTACATACCAAAATATACAAGACTGAAATATTTTAATACCCTAAAAGTTTTGCTAAATGGAATCAATCCTGTTAAAAGAAAAAAAATGGTTGCTATCATGATCATTTATCATTGCAAAAAGTTTAGTGCCCCAGATGTTCAGGTAAAAGAGAGAGATCAATACAAGGAGAAGTACAAGTTTGAGTATGTATATCAAAGTCCCAGTATTTAGGACATCTAGAGGAAAAGGGGGTAAAAATTTAAATCCCCTAAAATCAATGGATGAGGTAAAGATGAATTTAGGTACTGTAGGGAATCTAAAGATATGGGTTGAGAAAGAAAGAGGTGAAAAGAGCAGTATACCAACAGGGCGCGGGACAGGCACTTCAAGTCAGTACCTGACCAGCCAGGCTGTGGTTCGTACGTCAGTATGTGTGGCCAGCAGTAACAGCCTGGTTTATCAGGCACTGATCCACAACAAGGTCTGGTCACAGACTAGGCTGCGGAGTATATTTTCAGGTATATTTCAGAAGACTGGGAGATCAGCACCTGGAAATTTCCCCAATATCCACCAATATTCCAGTGTATAATAAATATTTCTTAAATAAAATATGTATTTCAGTCACACTGCATGATCCAAGAAACGTACCTCCATATCTTACACCCATCAAACTCAATACATGCAAAAGGAATAGTGCACGGTGGTCACAAAAATTTTAATGCAGTAAAATAGACATCAAAATATATGTATGTATATAAAAGAATTTTACAAGGGTTCTGAGAGTCAAGTCACAGTATAAAACCTCTCACACAATGTAACAAAATTTCACTTTTATTGGGTTCCTGGGAAATAAACATCATTTCCAAATTCTTCATAACTAAACAAATGTTAAAAAAGCAATTTGCATCCCAAAGCTTTGCTTTTGTGGTCAGGACACTTCTGGAACACTTTCAAGAAAGACTGATATAAAACTATTATGTTCTAGGGTTTTGCTTGGCAAATATAAAAACAGGGGCTCACAAACCAGCATTCAGTTCAGCTCTGGCTACCTTAGAAAATACATCAGAAGTGGAACGGCTTCAGGAGGCTGCAATCATTCTCAAGATGCATTCTGCTACATATGTGGTCAATTCATGAAGACATGAGCAATGAAGTTCTCTGTAAGAGCATCTAAAAAAATGTGTGAAGCTTACAAAGCATATTTTGGCATGCTAGTTGGGGGACCAAGACAAGACCTGGGCACCTCATGTTGCTTGTGAGCATTGTAAGAAAACATTGGAAGGTAAGAAAGTCATTAATTATATGAAGGGTAAAATCTTGAATAGGAGCATTTTTTAAATGAAATGCATGTAACAGAAACTAATTCTTTTGTTATTTTACAGGATGGTATGTAGTAGAAAAAAAAAAGAGCCATGAAGTTTGCTGTTCCTAGAATGTGGCGTGAACCCACTGATCACTTGACCAACTGCTACTTCTGCCTGGTGGATCCTTCCAAATGCTGAACTGGGAAAAATACACCTGCTATTTCTTATCCAGACCTTCTCTCTTCTATTGCACCAGTACCACACAGTGCTGATCTTCCTGTACCTACACTGCCAAATAGAAGTCATCCATCAGAAGAAAGCAGCAAATCAGAAAATGAAGAGCACAGTGAACAAGACTATGATCTCATTGATGCAGCTGTTGGGAGCAATCCTTACTACTCAAACCAAACAGACCTCAATGACCTTATCAGAGATCTAGGTCTGACAAAGTCAAATGCTGAGCCTTTGATTCCAAGGCTCAAGGAGTGGGACTAGGTGGATGAAAATGTGCAAGTGGCTAGCTAAAGAAAATGTCACCAACATTTCTCAAGTTTCTTCACTAATGAAGACAGGTTGTGCTACTGTGATGATGTGTCAGGCCTGTTTGATGCAAATGGAATTGCTTGCAATCCAGATGAGTGGAGAGACTTCATTGACAGCTCCTCTAGAAGCCTAAAAGCTGTACTTCTGTACAATAGGAACAAGTATCCATCACTTCCCTTGGATCATTCAGTGCATCTTAAGGAGGACTACAACTATGTCAAGCTTCTACTGGAAGCTTTGAACTATGATAGGTATGGCTGGGAGATTATTGGAAACTTCAAAATGGTGGCATTTTTTATGGGACTCCAAGAAGGTTTTACCAAGTTTCCATGTTATCTCTGTCATTGGGATATAGACAGAGCAGCACAATACCAGAGGAAGCACTGGCCTCAAAGGACTGAGTTCTCAGCAAGAAGACATAATATCAAACACAAGCCATAGGTGGATCTTCAAAAGGTTCTGTTCCCTCCATTACACATCAAACTAGGGCTAATGAAACAGTTTGTTACAGTTCTTGACAGAGTCTGCAGCTTTCAAGTATCTTCAAGACTTCTTACCCAGGCTATCAGAGGCAAAGGTGAAAGCTGGCATCTTCACTGGACTACAAGTCGGGAAAATCATGGAGTGCTCAAGATTTCCAAAGAAGCTCACAGAGAAGGAAAAAGAAGCCTGGGAGAGTTTTGTTGCTGTAGCACAGAGCTTTCTGGGTGGCCCGGTGGCCTGGTGGCTAAAGCTCCCGCTTCACACACGGAGGGCCCGGGTTCGATTCCCGGCGGGTGGAAACATTTCGACACGTTTCCTTACACCTATTGTCCTGTTCACCTAGCAGCAAATAGGTACCTGGGTGTTAGACGACTGGTGTGGGTCGCATCCTGGGGGACAAGATTGAGGACCCCAATGGAAATAAGTTAGACAGTCCTCGATGACGCACTGACTTTCTTGGGTTATCCTGGGTGGCTAACCCTCCGGGGTTAAAAATCCGAACGAAATCTTATCTTATCTTAACAAAGCTGACAATTATTTGGAACTTGTTAGGTAAGACACATATGCAACAGTTAAAGATACCTAACTGTTGCGTACGTGTCTTACCTAACAACCTGTCGGTATTTTATACCATTTTAATATGTGGAACTTGTTGAGACCATGGTAAAAAGCTAAGGTCAGATGGGCTGTAGAATGTCCCTTAAGGTCCATATCCTTGATCTTGATGCTCATCTTGACAATTTCAAGGATAATATGGGAGTATACTCAAAGAAGCAAGGGGAGTGCTTCCACCAAGATATAATGGACTTTGAACACAGATATCAGGGATCTTATAATGAAAACATGATGGGAGACTACATTTGGGGGCTTAAACGGGAAAGTGATTTGTTGCATGCACGCAAATCTAGAAAAACTGCTCATTTTTAACTTTGTAAGTATGTTTCAGAAAGTTTAAAATAAACTGTGTAAATTTTATTTTATGCAAATTTTATTATATGTTTTTGTTTTACATCCAAAACTAGCAAAAAAATATTGAAATTTAGCCACTTTTAGTCAAAAATTCATCCTGTAAGCCACAAAAGCAAAGTTTAAAAGGAATAATTGACATTTTTTATTGATTTACATTAAAAGGAGTTGGAAAATAACACTTGCCAGGAACAAAAATTGTGTTACATAGTGTATAATTTTTCCAGAATAATTAAATTAAACTCACCTGCAATGTACAAGTATAGGTCCCTTGGCTCTGAGCTTTTTACGTGTCCTCCTCACATCAAGAATAAAAGATATAAATGCTGTCTCTTCATTAGGAACGCCTGATGCTGGCCATCCAGTAAACCACATATGGGCCACCTCACGGACTAAGTTATTCTCCAGGTTCTTGAGTTGAACATTTGAAACCACAAATTTTTCTCTCATATCTCTAGATTTGAGGGTCACCTGAGAATGATTATTTATTAAAATAAAAGATTTTAGTACTTAGTCTACATCCTAAATCCCTAGACATTGATGAAAAATGTTGTACAGTGGAACCTCATTTTTCAGCCATAATTAGTTCCTGAAGGTTGGACTAAATTCAAAACTGCCTAAATTCGAAGCAATATTTCCCATAAGAACTAATGTAAATACAATTAATCCATTCCAGACACCCAAAAATATTCACGAAAAATACATTTTTTAAAGATTATAGTTTTACATACACAAAACAATGAGAAATGAAATAAATAAGCATTTAAATCATTATTACATACCTTTATTGAAGACTTTTATTAGATTATGACTTATGGAGAGAGCGAGGACTGATTGTTCGAAAGGGGGAATCCCCCTCCATAAGGACTTCAGGTATCAAAGCCCTCTCTTGGGTTACTTCCCTCACTCCCTGCCCATGGTGGCTTACTTCACCGTCGCACTTAATAAACAAGCCAGATCAGCTTGCATAATTTGTTCTTTCTTTGCCAGGATAGAAGTGAATGTTTATTTGTTTTTGTCATACATCCCATAGTGACTTATTTCACAGTTGCACTTAATAAAAAAAAACTACCAAAAACAATGGATTTAAAGGAAATGTTTGGATAAATGCGAGGAGTATATGCTCACTCACCAACAGATTAAGGGAGACTGACTCACCTACACGTGGCATTCCAGGCTGATGCATCTAATGCAGCCAATATACAAGGCAACAGCCGAAATATGGAGCAAAATTTCCACCGAAAAACTGGGCTAAATATGAATTGGCCGATAAACATGGTGGCCAAAAAACGAGGTTCCACTGTACTGCTTTATGCAAGTGTAGATAAAAGTACTATATTCAGTTTTGTTTAACAGTTGCACAGTTAACCTTCATTAAAAATAAATGTAAAATTTAGTCTAGGAAAATATGTACAGTAGGACCTCCATATCTGCAGGAGATATGTTCCAAGCACCTGCTGTGGATACCAAAAACGTAGATAGTAGCAAACGCTACATATAAGTCCTATACATACATACTGTAAAGTTAAATTGATAAATTATGCACAGTAAGTGAAGAATTATCAATTTTTAACTGATGGGAAGCACTTCACAGCTTCTCTTAGGCTTTGAAGAACTGCTAGCTTCTCTACTTTTGTGCTTTGGGGCATTATTATGCTAAATTAAGAGTTATTTTTGGACCACAGTGAACCGTTGATACTGAATCAGTGGATACGGGGGTTCTACTGTATAATATTTATCAATATATATAAAATTAAGGTAAACTAACCTGTACATAACATGAAATATAAAATGCTGTGCTGCTTTGTTTTACATATAGACCTGTTGGGTTATATCTTATCTGTGCAAACATCTGCTTTGTTGTACAATTTGATGACTTGGTTCACTGTCTGTTCCAAAACTATGAGACTTTTAGATCTTGACCTTTAGCCTTGATAAATTTGTAGATGTTCAGTTCCTTATGCCCAGTGGAAAACATGATGTTCAGTGGTGACAAATTCCAACTGCTGCTCAGTTATGTAAAAAAATGAGAAACTCAAAAGGGTCACTGTATTCAAAGCTCAGGAAGACTGCCTAATATAACACAAGGAACATGTGAAAGACCTGGGTTTAATTATGTCAGATGACCTATCATTAAGAGAACACAAGACAAATGTTGCACAAGCTAGAGGTGACAGGATGGATAATAACTTTCAAAACAAGAGAAATATTTCCAAATGAGATACACCTGTATGAGAAAATTAAATCTATATTAAAAGACAAGAACACCAATAAAATATCCTTCTTGAAAGACATGTCAGCCTGGTATGACAGCTGGGAAAATAAAATGGGCGAGTTGGACAAAGCTGTCTTGGAAGACAGTGCTCCTGAGGGTGTTAGTGATGTCCTGGAGGACAGTGCACCAAAAGGAGATAGGGGCCCTAGTGATGAAACAGGTAAAGACAATGCTATTCAATTTACAGAGGTACAAAATAGCAATACTGCTGGAAATGGAATGAAAGGGGATGATGCCTCAGGAAATAGTGTTGACACATTACCATCCATATCCAACACATAACAAAAGTATTCAAAACGGTTGGGATCCTCTCTAACATATGTTACTATGTGCCACAATCAGCCCTACTCACACTATGCTAATCACTCATCTATCCCTACCTCACCTATGCTATTTGTGCCTGGGGATCAGCAGCAGCAACCCACAAAAAGCCGCAGTAAGAAGTATCATGCAATCCAATGCTAGGCAACCCCCTCCCCCCACTCTTCAAAGACTTAAACTTACTCACTGTACAGAACTTTCATACCTACTACTGTGCAACCTACATTTACAAAACCATAAATTCCAATGTTAACCCTGAACTAAAACACTTTCTTGAAAGTTGTGACAGGACCCATAGACAAAATACCAGACACAAAACTCTCCGACATTTCCTGTGTCCAGCTAAATCTATGCATAAATTCAATGTACATAAAAGGGCCTAAAATCTAGAACTCCCTGCCTGAAAACTCTAGAACTACAGACTCGACCACCATTTTCAAAACAACTTAAAAAATATCTTATCTCCCTAACACACCCCACCATCAGCTAACTATATCAAAACCACCTATTCTCTTATTCATTTCATGCACACATCCAAAACAAGAGAGATTTACTCTCAATATCTGTGATTCCCCTTAATATACAATTACACTCACCCAAATGACTGCAAACATAAATTTCCTAATATAGCTACTGCCTAATAAATCTTAAGTTAGCCCTAAGTTTGCCTAAGAAACTCTCCCAATATAGGGGCTTTAATAGAAACAGTGTATCATGCCAAGACTTACCATTTCCCTCACTAAATTTACTAATTGTAATACTGTTATATGTTTTGTACTACCTCATTATTAAAAATCTAATTAATTACTTCAGTTACCTAGTATGCAATAAGATACATATTAAAATATACTGCTCCATAACCTGTGTCATACAGAGTAAGAATTAGGATTAGTCTACCCGAAATGCCTAGACATACTAGAAGCTTCCTTGTAATTAATATTGTATAATATGTAAACCATACATTGTAAGCTTTGCAAGGCAATGAACATTTATTACTATTATTATTAGTAGTAGTAGTATCATTATAAAATTACATCTTGCTACTGGGAGCTTTCAACTTGAGATGCCTAAAATGGAGGAGTGTAGCAAATAATATTTTAGCACTTATCACCCCAGGAGGCAGCTCAGATGAAAATTCGCACACACGAACTACTAAATCTCTGCACCAAATTCATGTTAAACCAGCAAATATTAGAGCCTATGAGACTAGAAAATATGCTGGACCTCATCTTCTTTAACAACGATAATCTGATATGTAATATAACCATATCAGATCGTAACATAATAGAGGTACAGACATGTATGCACCAGGCTCCTGAAGTCATGAAGGTGTCTTCACAAAATTCAACCTCAATAACAAAAACATACAATGGGAAAAAGTCAACCATGTCCTAAATGAAAACCTGGGAAGAGATCCTAAACAACACAGCTCCAAACCTTTGCCTTGAAAAAATAAACTCTGTGGTTCTTGAGATCTGCTGAAGGCACATTCCATTATGAAAAAAAAAAGAGAAGATGTAAACTAGAAAGAGAGAGATGCTCCCTATACAGATGAAGGTAAAGAGTCACAGAGCTGCTGAGAGGGGCCAGTATATCTGAAATACGAAGGGAGGCATTGGTCAATGAAATTGCAAATATCAAACTTAAGCTGAAGGAAACCTACAGGAGACATGAATCGCAGGAAAAACTAAAAGCCATAAAGGAAATTGAAAAAAACGAAAATACTACTTCTCTTATGCCAATTCTAAGGAAAAAAACACCATCCAGCATTGGGCCCCTGCTTAGGCAAGATGGGACATATACAGATGACAGCCAAGAAATGAGTAAGAGCCAAGTAATGAGTGAGATACTAAAGTCCCAATACTGCTCAGTGTTCAGCGAGCTGCTACCCAGACTAAGGGTCGACAATCGAAATGAATTCTTTGTGAACGAAACCCAAAATTTGGTAATCTCAAAAATCTCAGATATTACCTTAATACCACAAGATTGTGAAAAGGCAATAAATGACATGCCATGCACTCTGCCCCAGGCCCAGACTCATGGAGCTCTGTGTTCATCAAGAATTGCAAGAAGCCCCTGTTGTGTGCCATCAGCATTCTATGGAGAGGGAGCATGGACACAGGGGTCATCCGACACTCACTAAAAACAAGAGACATAGCCCCACTCTACAAAATTGACAGTAAAGCAATTGCAAAGAACTACAGACCGTTAGCACTAACCTCCCATATCATAAAAATCTTTGAAAGGGCTCTAAGAAGCAAGATCGCCAACCACCTAGATACCCATCAATTACACAACCCAGGGCAACATGGGTTTACAGCAGGTCAATTCTGCCTGTCCCAGCCACTGAACCACTATGACAAGATCCTGGATACTGTAGAGGATACACAAAATACAGATGCAGTACACACAGACTTTGCGAAAGCTTTCGACAAGTGTGTCCATGGTGTAATAGCACACAAAATGCATGATAAAGGAACAACAGAAAAAGTTGGTAGATGGATCTATAACTTCCTGACAAATAGAACAAAAAGAGGAATAGTGAACAGAGTAAAGTTTGAGGCAGCTACAGTGTAAAGCTCTGTTCCACAAGACACAGTACTAACTCCCATTCTATTCCTCATCCTCATATCTGACAAAGACATATGTAAACCATAGCTCCATTTCTACCTTTGTGGATGACACCTGAATGAAGTTCAATGAAGAGAGATTTCAACTACTCAGATATGGAAAACTTTAGGAAAATAAAACTGTATCAGGATATATGACAAATTCTAACCATACAATAGAGCAAAAAAAGTAATGTGAAAGGCCTGGGAGTGATAATGTCAGAGGATCTTGCCTTCAAAGACCACAATGTATCTACTGCATCTGCTAGGAAAATAATAGTATGGATAATGAGAACCTTTAAAACTAGGGACCCCAAGCCCACGATGACTCTCTTGAAATTGCTTGCTCTCTAGGCTGTAATACTGCTGTACACTGACTGCCCCCTTCAAGGCAGGTGAAATTGCTGACCTGGAGAGTGTACAAAGAACTCTGATGGCACACACAAGTATGATAAGGCACCTAAATTTCTGGAAGCGGTTGAAGTCCCTTGATTTGTATTCCCTGGAATGCAGGCAAGAGAGATACACTTTCAAAATCCTAGATGGATTAGTACCAAACTTGCACAAGAAAATCACTTCCTATGAAAGCAAAAGACTTGGGAAAAGATCCAACATTCCCCCAATGAAAAGCAGGGGTGCCATGAGTACTCAGAGACAACACAATAAGTGTCCAGGGCCCAAGACTGTTCAACTGCCTCCCAGCATATATGAGGGGGATTACCAATAGACCCCTGGCTATCTTTAAGAAAGCACTAGACAGGCAAAGTCAGTACCTGACCAGCCGGGCTGCAGTTCATATGTCAGTTTGTGTGCTGCTAGCAGTAACAGCCTGGTTGATAAGACCCTGATCCACCACAAGGCCTGGTCTCAGACCGAGCCACAGGGGCATTGACCCCCAAAACCTTCTCCAGGTATACTGTTCATATCTTTTGTCCCCTTAGCCTAAAGAAGCTGAATACAGAAGCATACAAGGTATGTATGATACAAATATCACTGAGAAAACCCAGAAGATCAGATAGAGAGAGAGCATAGGAGATGGTACAGAAGAAAACAAGTTACCAAACTGCTTAAAAACGCAAATATGCTGCAACAGAGGAAAGATAGTCTTAGCTGAGAGATCAGTGAATTAGAGCAAAAACTTAGGTCATATCTAACACAAGAAGTGCAAAGGGAACAAAGGGTCATACAGGATACTGCAAGAAACCCATCATATTTCTATTCCTATGCAAAATCCAAGCTAAGAATGCCTGTGGAATTAGACCATTATTGAGAAGAGATTCATATACTGACAATGAACAGGAAAAAAAGAGTGAAATCCTAAAAGAACAGCGAGTCGGTGTTCAGCAACCCACTAAATGACAGCAAGGCAGAAAATGCAGTAGTATTTTTCACTCCAGCAGAAGACCACACAGATCAACTAACTGACATTAGTATAAATCCTACAGATTTCAATAAAGCAATGGATAACATGCCCACTCACTCAGCACCTACACCAGATTCATGGAATGCTCTATTTATAAAGAAGTGCAAAGTACCATTAGCATGAGCCCTCAGTATTCTTTGGAGAAAGAGCTTAGATCTAGGTGAAACACCTGAGGCCTTAAAGAGTCCAGACATAGCTCCTTTGCATAAGGGAGGTAGAAGAGCACAAGCTAAAATTTGCACACCAGTAGCCCTAGCTTCTCACATCATAAAAATCTTCGAAAGAGCGATGAGACAGCAGATTACAAAGTTCATGAACCAGCATAACCTGAACCAGCATGGTTTTAGAGCAGGACGATCATGCCTGTCACAGCTGCTGAACCATTATGACAGAATTACAGAGGCGTTGGAAGATAACCAAAACACAGATGTGATTTACACAGATTTTGCAAGGCGTTTCACAAATGCGATTATGGAGTGATATCATAACAGACATAGATAAAAATACCCAGCACACTTTTGTATCATCATTTGCAGATGACACTAAAATAAGCATGAAAGTCATTATGGTAAAGGACACTGAAAAATTACAGGAAGACATAAGCAGGGTTTTCTAGTGGGCACTGGAGAACAACATAACGTTCATTGCTGATAAGTTCCAGCTACTTAGGTATGGAAAGAATGAAGAAGTCAAAAGGAACACTATATACAAAACTTAAGAGGGTCACCAAACAGAACAAAAGGAACACGTAAAAGACCTGGGAACAATTATGTCAGTTGACCTTTCTTTTAAAGACCATAACAAGACAAAGAACATGACAGCCAGGAAGATTACGGGGTGGGTATTGAGAACTTTCAAAACAAGAGAAATAATGCAGATGGTGACACACTTCAAATCACTAGTGCTCCCTCATTTATAATATTGCTCAGTGCTGACAGCCCCGTTCAAAGCATGAGAAATATCAGAGCCGAAACAAATACAGATATCGTTTACAGCTCACACTGAGCCAGTAAAGCATCTAAATTACTGGGAATGCCTTCAAGTCTTGAACATGTAATCATTGGAGTGGAGGAGAGAGAGATACATGATAATACATACCTGGAAAGTACTCGAGGGCCTGGTCCCAAATCTGCACACTGCTATAACAACATACTGGAGCGACAGATATGGGAGGAAGTGTAAAACAAACCCAGTAAGGAGAAGGGGTGCAGTGGGGACAAAAAAAGGAACACTGTATCAACATCCAGGGTCCCAGACTATTCAACATTTTACCAGAGGATATCAGAAACACGGCTGGAACAAGCGTACAAGCCTTCAAGAGGAAACTGGACAAGCATCTGCACCAGGTGCTAGATCAACCAGGCTGTGAGGGATATGTAGAGCAGCAGGCCTCCAGCAGCAACAGCTTGATTGACCAGGCAAGCACCAGACGAGTCTAGCCCATGGCCAGGCTCCAAGAGTAGTGAAATTCTCGAAACTCTTCAAAGATAAAGGTACATCTTGCCAAGAGTACTGTTCAGCATTAGTGGCTCTATTCGAGGCAGTTAAGATATTCTAGATGGAACAGATACAGAAACTGTTTACTGCTTGCAGTAGCAATAAAGCATTTAAACTACTGAATATGTACTATGAAGCAGAGGAGAGAGAGAGGCACATGATAATATGGAACAAACAAAACAGCCTAGTCCCAAACCTACACACTACTATGACAATACACTGGAGTAAAAGATATTGGAAGTAGAGTAAAATAAATCCAGTTAGAAATAGGGGTTCCAGGGGCACAATATGAGAACACTGTATCAACATCCCTGGGCCTCTACTAATCAATGTACTACCAAAAAATGTAAAAATTGCTGAATGAACATTGGTAAAAATCTTCAGGAGGAAGCCATTTCACTATATCAAATGCCAGATAAACCAGGCTGTGATAGATGTGGCAGTTGAACAGTCTCGGGCCCCTGACACTTATTGTATGGTCTCTTAACGTGCTATTGACACCCCTGCTTTTCATTGGGGGGATGTTGCATCGTCTGCCAAGTCTTTTGCTTTCGTAGTGAGTGATTTTCGTGTGCAAGTCCGGTACTAGTCCCTCTAGGATTTTCCAGGTGTATATAATCATGTATCTCTCCCGCCTGCGTTCCAGGGAATACAGGTTCAGGAACCTCAAGCGCTCCCAGTAATTGAGGTGTTTTATCTCCGTTATGCGTGCCGTGAAGGTTCTCTGTACATTTTCTAGGTCAGCAATTTCACCTGCCTTGAAAGGTGCTGTTAGTGTGCAGCAATAATCCAGCCTAGATAGAACAAGTGACCTGAAGAGTGTCATCATGGGCTTGGCCTCCCTAGTTTTGAAGGTTCTCATTATCCATCCTGTCATTTTTCTAGCAGATGCGATTGATACAATGTTATGGTCCTTGAAGGTGAGATCCTCCGACATGATCACTCCAAGATCTTTGACGTTGGTGTTTCGCTCTATTTTGTGGCCAGAATTTGTTTTGTACTCTGATGAAGATTTAATTTCCTCGTGTTTACCATATCTGAGTAATTGAAATTTCTCATCCTTGGGCTGTTGGAGTAAGAACTCTCAAAACCAGTCGCAGGTTGATCACTGTGGCTCGCTGTATCTTTGGCTCACTATGACTTATTTTCAGATCACTGTCCATATCCCTTATGGCATTCTCCTTTGTGCATGGTGTCCACGTTCCTAATTGTAATAATGTTGGTAGAATTACCGATAATATGTAATAGGCTCACTCTGAGCCTATATATACCCTGTGTGTCCATGTACTGTTTGTAACGGCTTGACAAAGCTCCTGGAGAGCGAAACATTGCCACAATAAAATGTCACATTAGTTGCACTTGTGTCCTTTTACTTTACATGTTCCTTTATATTCCACATCCTTTATGTTCCATGTCCATGTCCTTCATGCCCTTGTCCTTTATGAAAACCTACAGGGATTAAACACTTTCAATTCTATCAATGCTAAGGGGCTGAGCACCTTCAGGAACTACAGATTCCAAGTTTTGGATTTTCCTACACATTATATTTAAATTTTAAAATTTCTTATCCTGAAACAAGGTGGGTTTGGAAAGCTAGTTGCATAACTTCCTTATGTACCCCATGCCAAACCTGAAGATTAGTGGTTAGTTTAGTTTAATATTTTATGCACCCCATATCCAACCTGTGGGCAATACTCAAAAGATTAGAGGCATATAATGGGTCCAGGGACTGGGCCACAAAATTTTGATAACTAAACAAGGTACAGTGGTAATGAACCATTTACATATTTATATCTGATTATGATCACAATGAGTTATTTATGCAAACATGAATGAGGTCACAAAAATATTACAAAAATATTCTTTTATATTTTAACAAGAAATGTTTGCAAGAAAAAAAAGTTTAAGTGGTTATGCATTATTTATAGTGGGCAAAGTCAGGGTATTTTTCCAGAAAGGTTGGAAATTTCTTGAACATTTCTGAGTTAGTTGTCACTGAATTCATTAATTTTATTGCATTCCAATTCATAAGGATGGAAGGTGTAACAATTGTTCATCTGGCAAAGCTTACATTCAGTTTGGTCTACATTATCTGGTAGGAGAAAGTTAACCTCCCAGAGATACTGATAACACACAAATAACCCACACATATAGAAGAAAGAAGCTTATGTTGTTTTGGTCTGTCTTAGACCCAGTCAGAGCCAGGCAGTAGTGGCATCCAGAAGTCTGCTTATTTTGTTAGATGCACCATGGACATGATTAGTGGAAGACACCTAAATAATAGTCATTCAATAAATAATTCATAATTGTACATAAATTACTGCAAATAGAAACTCACCTGGAAATCTCCATATAATCTGTGGCAATCTAGTGTTTCTGATGGTGGCAGGTAGTCTGCACACTTGTCAATCCCTTTCTCTACAAAATCCGTAAGCATCACTACCACCTTTGTTTCTTGCTCCCAAATCATTCTCCAAAAGTCTGCTACAGTGTCATCCAAAGGAGCCTGTGTTTGGTAATAATTAGAAAAATGTCAGAATGAAGTATAATTTTCTTAATTCTTGGACAAATCATTATTAAGGATTAAGGATTTTATTTCTTTGCATAGTTTACAACATGTAATTACAATTTTGATTTACTAAGTATATACAAAGAAAGCTACTCTATCATGCCAGGGCATTTTGGGCAGACTAAACCTAATGCATAACAGACTACTTAATACTAGGCATATACGTACAGTGATACCTCTCATATCTGACCTATATGGTCTGATACCAGTTAGGAAACACCGGGTTTCCGGATAAGTGAGGGAGGAAAAATGCGCATCCGTGTCATCATGTTGCCATCCATACCCAGTGGGCTCGATACGGCTTATGCTGTCAGTGGCCCTGAAACCCAACAGACGATCCATACCCAGTCATATCGCCATCGGCGATAGCGTTGTAGGTTTAAAAAAATGAGTCCAACGTCGTCTGGCGGTTTGACCAGACACTCTGGGCTCGAATAACAGCCTCCTGGATTTCATGGACCACAGGACCATAACTTTTCAAATGGGCTGTGGGCAGTGGATGCTCCAAATACTCCAAAAGTGTTTCAACACCTGCCCTTGCTGCTGAAATTTTTGGTCTTGGAAGCATTGGATCTTCGTCGTCGTTGTCACTTTTGGAATGTTCCGGGTGCAACGCTGATTTTGCAATCTCTGCATCCATCAGAGATTGCACACAAGGGTTGTCTTTGTCACACTCTAGCCAGTCCTGCACACCATCTTCTGTAGTTTTTTTCCCCAGGCTTGGACCAGCCAGCATGCACATGCAACAATATTTCCCTCTTTTTTTTCTAGAGTAAGCACATTTCTGGCCATTTTTGGTGCCATACTCAAGATAGCTTGGACAAACACAGCTGTAAGAAAGCTAAAAGGAGGAGTGGAACCCCCACAAAGGCCACAAACTCGCTTCCAGACTGCACCGCCATTATGCGCACCTATTTAGTTAGGAGACAATAGCAGGACTGAGAACAGTAGGTGGCGAAGGGTTCAGCTCCTAGTGGCCAAATGGTACACTAAAAGTGTGCACGAAGTTTGATTCAGCCTTCTGCTGTATCCAAACAGCCGTTTCGATGTTTTGGAAATAATTTTAGAATTCTGCCGTTTTCCAGGACCTGTTCAGATATTGGCGAGGTTAGGATAATGGCAAACCAGATATACGAGGTATTACTGTATAACATAGTTGGTTTGAATTGAACATCGGTTTTCATATTTCAACAGAGGTAGGTAGTGGTTTAGCAGTAACTGAATTTATAATTGAGATGAATTGATTAACAGGTTACAGTATTATGTTTTGGCACATTTTACATAATGAGATTGGAGTTTTTGAGTTGTTGGTGATAATACAGTATATAGTATTTGTGTGGTTAATTTTGGGAGATGAAGTGATTTCTAAGCAAAGCCTTAAATTGGTGTGCAGGCAGGGCCCCTTTTGTATGTTCAGGCAATGAATTCCAGATCTTAGGGCCCTGTATGTGCATAGCATTTTTGCTTAGGAAGAGATGGACATAAGGGATATCAAAGAGTGTTTTGTATCTTGTATTATGCAAGTGCATTCTCCTGTAGTTCTCAAGAAGGAGTTTGAGAGGAGGGTTAATATTGGAGAATAGTGTTCTGTGTATGTAGTAGGCACAATAATATGAGTGAGCATTTTGTATGTTAAGCAGGTTCAAGCTCTTAAATAGTTGTGTGGTGTGTTGCCTGGTGCAGGAGTTTGTAATCAATCTCACAGCAGCTTTTTGTTGGATTATTAAAGGTTTAAGATGATTTGCTGTGGTTGACCCCCATGCACAAATACCATAGGTGATTACCAGTAAGGTTAGATGAGAGTGATAAAGACCTGGAGTACCATTTGGGGTACAAAGTATCGTATCTTAGAAAGGATGCCTACTGTTTGGGAGATGTTTTTGAAAATATGCTGTATGTGGGTTTGAAATTTAAGACAGCAATCAATGTGGAGCCATAGAAATTTGCCGTCAGTGTGTCTTGAAATGGGGGAACCATATAACAATATGTTTAGTTGAATATCTACAGCTCTGTTTCCAAACAGTATGTAGTAGTTTTTGTCAATATTGAGAGTAAGTTTGTTGGTTGTTGTCCAAGTAGATATTTTTAGTAGCTCATCATTTACAGTGTTTCTAAGTATGGTCTGGTTTGGGTGAGAGAAGACATAAGTAGTGTCATCTGCAAAAAGAACAGGCTTAAGTACAGCCTCTCCTCACTTAACAATGAAGTTCCAATCCTAAGGCCACGTCGTTAAACGAATTCGTCGCTAAGTGAGGAGCATACTATAATGGTAGCGAGTTCGTGCCAGCCATCTTTGATATTGGTTTAATGTCACCTCTGCACCAATTATAACATTTCTGTTATATTTTTAAATGTTTATACAGTAGTGTACTGTATTTAAATAAAAGAAATAGTAGAGGAAATCAGCTCTAATATACATTATTTAGGTATGAATGCTGGTCAAAGAGCCCATCATAAGTCTGAGGCGTCGGTAAACGAGTACGTCGCTAAGTGAAGAGAGGCTGTAGTTTAGAAGCATTGGGGAGGTCACTGATGTAAATGAGAAAGAGTACTGGTCCAAGGACCACTACCCTGGGGGCTCCAACAATAACAGGTTGTGTGATGGAGACAACACCATTTGTGTATACATACTGGTGTCTGTGTGATGAATGGTTTAAAAAACCGACAAGTTGAAGATTGAGACACTCATACTGGTGTCTATTGCCAAGATATGATTTTAGGTAATCGAGCGAGTGTCCTCTGACCCCGTAATGCTCAAGTTTTAGGTGTAAGAGATCATGGTTGACTGTATCAAATGCTCTCCATAGATCTATGAAGAGACCCAGTGGAATTTCCTTTTTTTTCAAGTGCCGAATAAAGAAGTTCAAGCATATGTGTAATTGAATCATTTGTACTTTTGCTTGGCCTAAATCCAAACTGGCAGGGGTTAAATATGTTGTGGGATACTAAGCAGGAGTAAACTTGCTTGATTTTTTAAAAGATTTTAGACAGAAGGGGTAGGTTTAATATACATAGGTCTATTAGTTATTTAAATCAGTAGGATCACCTCCTTTGTGGACTGGAATAACCCTTGCTGTCTTGAGTAGGGATGGGAAGGTTGAAGATTCAATGGACTTGTTAAGCATGATAGTGGCTCTCTTTGCACTGCAACTCATTATTGTAATATCATAATCTCAGTGTAATCTTGCAAAGAAATAAAATTTTTTTTGTTTGTTTGTTGTAAAAAGTGTTGCAATAATGGGTGACAACAAATGAGAAGCTTTTTTATACACGAGTAGTGGTAAGTTATTTGGGTCTTCTGCCTTCGCCAACATCATTACCTCATTCCACTTTCATGTAGTGTAGAAACGCTCATAAGAGAAAAGAATTTAATTAAAAGCATTATAAGAGTTTTCATAATACTGTTCATAATATCCCACATAGTAAAACATCACATAGATAAATAAAGAGCTAAAACAAAATATTAAAAACAGCAATGAACCTTGCAAAAGATAGACAGTAAACTCCAGGTCCAGGTAACAAGGTTATTTTACATGTACACTAACTTATGCCAGCTTCACAAATAATCTTAGTTGCATATACTTCTCAGAATAAAGAAGTTCTAAGCTTGAAATATCAGATAAAACAATGAACACCAACAATTACCATACTAAAAGTTCAGTAATACCTTGATCTAATGGGCCTCAATATAATGGGCTTTTAACCCATTGACTGTTGAAACCCCAAATCCTGAGGTGTCTCATGGTAAAAAAAAAAAAAAAAATCTTATGAAATGATAGAGAATCTTTTCCTGATGGTAATGACACACTCACACTCACGCGAGCTTTTAAATCTCTGCACAAAATTCAATTTAAACCAGCAAATAATAGAGCCTACTAGACTGGAGAATACACTAGACCTCATCTTCACTAACAATGATGATCTGATAAGAAATGTCACCATATCAAAAACAACATACTCAGATCACAACATAATTGAGGTTCAGTCATGTATGCGCGGAGCCCCAGACCGACATAATGAGATTAGTCACGAGGGAGCATTCACCAAATTCAACTTCAATAACAAAAACAAAGTGGGACCAAGTAAACCAAGTCCTAACCGATATAAGCTGGGAAGATATACTAAGCAACACAGACCCCAACTTATGCCTAGAACAGATTAACTCGGTGGCACTTGATGTATGCACAAGGCTTATTCCTCTAAGAAAAAGGAGGAGTAGATGTAAAATAGAAAGAGACAGGCGCTCCCTTTACAGGCGACGGAAAAGAATAACAGAGCAGCTAAAAGAAGTCAATACATCTGAAATGCATAGGGAGACACTGGTCAGAGGAATAGCAAGCATCGAACTTAAGCTAAAAGAATCCTTTAGGAGTCAGGAATCGCAGGAAGAACTAAAAGCCATAAATGAAATCGAAAGAAACCCAAAGTATTTCTTCTCCTATACCAAATCAAAATCGAGAACAATGTCCAGTATTGGGCCCCTACTTAAACAAGATGGGTCCTACACAGATGACAGCAAGGAAATGAGTGAGCTACTCAAGTCCCAATATGACTCAGTTTTTAGCAAGCCGCTAACCAGACAGAGTCGAAGATCAAAATGAATTTTTTATGAAAGAGCCACAAAATTTGATTAACACAAGCCTATCCGATGTTATCCTGACACCAAATGACTTCGAACAGGCGATAAATGACATGCCCATGCACTCTGCCCCAGGGCCAGACTCATGGAACTCTGTGTTCATCAAGAACTGCAAGAAGCCCCTATCACGAGCCTTTTCCATCCTATGGAGAGGGAGCATGGACACGGGGGTCGTCCCACAGTTACTAAAAACAACAGACATAGCCCCACTCCACAAAGGGGGCAGTAAAGCAACAGCAAAGAACTACAGACCAATAGCACTAACATCCCATATCATAAAAATCTTTGAAAGGGTCCTAAGAAGCAAGATCACCACCCATCTAGAAACCCATCAGTTACACAACCCAGGGCAACATGGGTTTAGAACAGGTCGCTCCTGTCTGTCTCAACTATTGGATCACTACGACAAGGTCCTAAATGCACTAGAAGAGAAAAAGAATGCAGATGTAATATATACAGACTTTGCAAAAGCCTTCGACAAGTGTGACCATGGTGTAATAGCGCACAAAATGCGTGCTAAAGGAATAACAGGAAAAGTCGGTCGATGGATCTATAATTTCCTCACTAACAGAACACAGAGAGTAGTCGTCAACAGAGTAAAGTCCGAGGCAGCTACGGTGAAAAGCTCTGTTCCACAAGGCACAGTACTCGCTCCCACCTGATCAACCAGTCTGTTACTGCTGGTTGCACCCAATCCAACATACGAGCCACAGCCCGGCTGGTCAGGTACCGACTTTAGGTGCTTGTCCAGTGCCTGCTTGAAGACAGCCAGGGGTCTATTGGTAATCCCCCTTATGTATGCTGGGAGGCAGTTGAACAGTCTCGGGCCCCTGACACTTATTGTATTGTCTCTTAAGGTGCTTGTGACACCCCTGCTTTTCATTGGGGAGATGTTGCATCGTCTGCCGAGTCTTTTGCTTTCGTTGTGAGTGATTTTTGTGTGCAAGTTCGGTACTAGTCCCTCTAGGATTTTCCAGGTGTAAATAATCATGTATCTCTCCTGCCTGCATTCCAGGGAGTACAGGTTCAGGAACTCCAAGCGCTCCCCCAGTAATTGAGGTGTTTTATCTCCGTTATGCGCGCCGTGAAGGTTCCCTGTACATTTTCTAAGTCAGCAATTTCACCTGCCTTGAAAGGTGCTGTTAGTGTGCAGCAATATTCCAGCCTAGATAGAACAAGTGACCTGAAGAGTGTCATCATGGGCTTGGCATCCCTAGTTTTGAATTATTATTATTATCCATCCTGTCATTTTTCAAGCAGATGCAATTGATACAATGTTATGGTCCTTGAAGGTGAGATCCTCTGACATGATCACTCCCAGGTCTTTGACACTGGTTTTTTGCTCTATTTTGTGGCCGGAATTTTTGTACTCTGATGAAGTTTTAATTTCCTCACGTTTACCATATTGGAGTAATTGAAATTTCTCATTGTTGAACTTCATATTGTTTTCTGCAACCCATTGAAAGATTTGGTTGATGTCCGCCTGGAGCCTTGCAGTGTCTGCAATGGAAGACTGTCATGCAGATTCGGGTGTCATCTGCAAAGGAAGATATCCTTGTCTATGTCAGATATGAGGATGAGAAACAAGATGGGAGTGAGTACTGTGCCTTGTGGAACAGAGCTTTTCACCGTAGCTGCCTCAGACTTTACTCTGTTGACTACTACTCTGTGTTCTGTTTGTGAGGAAATTATAGATCCATCTTCCAACTTTTCTTGTTATTCCTTTAGCACGCATTTTGTGAGCTATTACGCCATGGTCACACTTGCAGAGTTATCATTATTACTATATACGTATTTTTATTTGGGTGGCTGAAGTAACTTTGGTGGGGTTTAGCCCTTTGGCACTGCCACTTCTTCCCCCCCCCCTATCATTTTCTTATATTTACTGGCTCTCATCATACACTTATTGTCCTTAAAGTTTCTCCTGTATCTCATGGGGGATTGTGTGGTTCAAATGAAAGCGTCTTCAGCTAGCACACTGAGGGATTAATCCCGGCATGCATGAAATGCTGGTCGTGTTTTGTAGCAATACATTACTGCATCTCCAGCAGTTTCCTCAGTAAGAGTCAGAGTTATTTGAAGATCTCAACCAGTTGTGGGAAGCAGGCTGGCTCAAGGGCCACTGAGAAATCAGTTGTTTTCACCTCAGGGTATTTGACCTACCATAATCTGCTTAATTTTGTAAGGTAATTTAAACAATGCAATAATGCTATCAAGGGTGAGTAGAGCAGAAGAGAAGATAATGGAACTTTGCCGTTGTCAATTTTACATCTACTCCTACCATCCTGTCAGCTGTGGTCAGGGAGGAACTCTCTGGCAAGCTCACACAGCTGGTAGTAAGCAGCATCATGGAATGATCTCGGAACAAAATTTTGCTGCTCTCCCAACTTGTGGCAAGTAACATCAGAGTCAATGCCTTCCGATTTTTTCCATATTCACTATGACTAAAGTAATTTTTCCACTTGTCATGGTTACTTGAATCGAAACGAGTATATCTCAAGAATTACATGCATTATTCTACATGAGAACTTAAAAAAAAAAAAAAAATTCTAACTTTAGTCACTGTACAATATACTGTAAATTATTTCTGGGATAATAAATGAAATATCCTTCTGATAGAATATATCATCTGTGCTGCACCGTTCAAGGGGTCGGTATTTTGATACTATAGTAATGAGCTCCTGATTCAAGAAACTGGAGCTACATACTAATATCTAGATAAAAACCAAACAACCTCATATTCTCCAGGTTCTTTACTGCCCATATGGGTTTAGCACATCCCTGCAAATATCATGTTACTAATAAAATTTACCTGTGTTGCAATATAGTACTTGGATTCATTCCTGGCACCTCTCACATAGTTGGCATTGATGTACTCAGAGTTGTGTGAATCCTTTGGCAATTTCAGCACTACTCTAGTTTCTGGCACTGGTATAACATTTGCATATCTGGTGAGAAAAATTATAAATGTTAATCTTCAATTAAATACATCACTCCTAATGATCATGCTTTCAAAAAATTTGAGAAATTCATTATAAAGGCTATATGAATTGTCTTTCTTTTTGGGTGACCCTGCCGTGGTGGAAAATGGCAGACATTCTAAAAAATACATACAGCCTCTCCCCACTTATTGATGGAGCTCTGTTCTTGAGACTACCTCATTAAATGAATTCATCACTAAGTGAGTAGCATAGTATAATGGTAGTGAGTTCATGTTGACCATCTTTTATAACATTTATAACATTTCTGGTATATTTTTAAAAGTTTATACAGTAGTGTACTGTATATTTAAATACACAGAATAGAGAAAATCAGCTCTAATTTACATTATTTAGGTATGAATAGTGGTCAGAGAGCCCATCGTAAGTCCGAGGCGTTGGTAAACAAGTACTTCGTTAAGTGAGGAGAGGCTACACATACATATATACACTAGGGCCCCACTTATATGGCAGATTAGGTTCCGAGCTACTGCCGTAAAGCAGACATCACCGGAAAGCAGAACACCATTTTTCTTCCTCTTATAAATGTCAGATAACAAGTTTACATTAACATATATTAAGTAAGCAATAGAACTAGGCATTAAGAACAATGAAAGTAAAATACACACACAATGAACTCATTATTGCCTTAAAATATTTGTAGTCTTAATGTAGGGCGAGAGGTGAGTCGTATTTATTTGTGGGAAATTTGAATAGAAAAAAGTCACTGACTTTTTTTGGGGTTATCCTAGGTTCTCTACACATATGCTGCTATGTATGATAATCTATGTAACTGTATCTGTGTATACATAAATAAACTTACTTATGGTAGCCATCCAGATCAGCCTACCCCGCCCCACCCACACACAATATATTATGACAATTAAAGCGACCCAAAGCAATAAAATACATACATGTACACAGTTCATTCATTTACCTTAAAATATTCGTAGTCTTAATGTAGGGTGAGAGGCGAGTCGTATTTTTATTTGTAGTAAGTCAGGTTTGGGAAGTATGGTAGCCAGCCAGGTCAGCCCACCCCACCCACACGTAATATACGACATTTAAAGTGCCCCAGAGCGATAAAATAAATATACAGTATATTCATTAATTACCTGAAAATATTTGTAGTTTTAATGTAGGGTGAGAGGCAAGTCGTGTTTATTTATAGGAAGTCAGGTGTGGAAAGTATGGTAGAAAGCCAGGGCAGCCCACCTCACCCGCACGTAATGTAAACAAACGGATGCATCTGCTTTTGGTTGATCCAAGTTCATTCCCATGTCTGTGAATCTTATACGTATCAAAATATAAACACTTTACATTGTGCACAAGTTGTCTCCATATTGATAGAGTAGAATCAACAAAGAGGAACATTCTCATTCTCATGTACACCATTCTTAGAAGAAATGACGCTCTGAGTGCTGAGTGAAGGCATACGAAAGCAATAATTTTCCAGTTAACCCCAGTATTATTATAGAGGGTGTGGTAGGTTAGTTTGAGGTGCCAGGTGTAAATGATAATGGGAGCCCTTTGATTGAACTTTGTATAGAAAGAGGTTTAGTTATATATAGGTAATATATATTTTAAGAAAAAGAGGATAAATAAGTATACAAGATATGATGTAGGGCGTAATGACAGTAGTTTGTTGGATTACGTATTGGTAGATAAAAGACTGTTGAGTAGACTTCAGGATGTACATGTTTATAGAGAGGCTACAGATATATCAGATCACTTTTTAGTTGTAGCTACAGTGAGAGTAAAAGGTAGATGGGATACAAGGAAAACAGAAGCAGCAAGTAAGAGAGAGAGGTGAAGGTTTATAAACTAAAAGAGGAGACAGTTAAGGTAAGACAAACAACTATTGGAGGATAGATGGGCTAGTGAGAGTATAGGCAATGGGGTAGATGTTGTTTAAGAATGAAGTGTAAGACGTTCAGCAGAAGTTTGAGGTTACTGGAAAAGTGGGTGCGGGAGGGAAGAAGAGCGACTGGAGGAATGATGATGTAAAGAGAGTAGTAAGGGAGAAAAAATTAGCATATGGGAGGTTTTTACAAAGTAGCAGTGATGCAAGGAAGGAAGAGTATATGGAGAGAAAAAGAGGGGCTAAGAGAGTGGTAAAGCAATGTAAAATGAGAGCAAATGAGAGAGTGGGTGAGATGTTAACAAATTTTGTTGAAAATAAGAAAAACTTTTGGAGTGAAATTAATAAGTTGAGGAAACCTAGGGAACTAATGGATTTGACAGTTAAAAATAGGAAAGGAGAGTTATTAAATGGAGAGTTAGAGGTATTGGGAAGATGGAGGGAATATTTTGAGGAATTGTTAAATGTTGTTGAAGGTAGGGAAGCTTGATTTCGTGTATAGAGCAAGGAGGAATAACATCTTATACGAGTGAGGAAGAGCCAGTTGTGAGTGTAGGTGAAGTTCATGAGGCAGTGGGTAGAATGAAATGGGGTAAGCCAGCTGGGATTGATGGAATAAAGATAGAAATGTTAAAAGCAGGTGGGGATATAGTTTTGGAGTACTAGTTGGTGCTATTATTTAATAAATGTATAGAAGAGGGTAAGGTACCTAGGGATTGGCACAGAGCATGCATAGCTCCTTTGTATAAAGAAAAAGGGAACAAAAGTGAGTGCAAAAATTATATGGGAAGAAGTCTGAGTATACCTGGTAAAGTGTATGGTAGAATTATTATTTACCATTGTGTTGTGGTACGTCAATAATGTTCAGAATTATTATTGAAAGAATTAAGAGTAAGACAGAGAGTAGGATAGCAGATGAACAAGGAGGCTTTAGGAAAGTAACAGGGTGTGTAAACCAAGTGTTGACAGTGAAACATACAGGTGGACAGTGTTTAGAAAAAGGTAAAGAGGTTTTTGAGACATTTATGGATTTGGAAAAGGCATATAACAGGGTGGATAGGGGGGCAATGTGGCAGATGGTGCAGGTGTATGGAATAGGAGGTTGCTTACTGAAAGCAGTGAAGAGTTTTTACGAGGATAGCGAGGCTCAGGTTAGAGTGTGTAGGAGAGAGGAAGATTATTTCCCAGTAAAAGTAGGCCTTACATAAGGATGTGTGATGTCATCATTGTTGTTCAATATATTTATAGATGGGGTTGTATGAGAACTGAATACATGGGTCTTGGCAAGAAGTGTGGGGTTAAAAGATAAAGAATCTAGCACAAAGTGGGAGTTGTCACAGTTGCTCCTTGCTGATGACACTGTGCTTTTGGGAGATTCAGAAGAGAAGTTGCAGAAGATGGTGGATGAGTTTGATGAGGTATGTAAAAGAATTAAGTTAAAAGTGAATATAGGAAAGAGTAAGGTGATGAGGATGGCAAAAATTAGGTGACAAAAGATTGGATATCAGAATGGAGGGAGAGAGTATGGAAGAGGTGAATGTATTCAGATATTTGGGAGTGGACGTGTCAGCAGATGGGTCTATGAAGGATGAGGTGAATCATAGAACTGATGTGGGGAAAAGGGGTGAGTGGTGCACTTAGGAGTCTGTGGAGACAAAGAACTTTGTCTGTGGAAGCAAAGAGGAATGTATGAGAGTATACTTATACCAACACACTTATATGGGTGGTGAAAGTTGCAACAAGGAGATGTCATGTCTGAGGGCAACATGTGGTGTGAATATAATGCAGAGAATTCATAGTTTGGAAATTAGGAGGTGGTGTGGGATTACCAAAACTATTATCCAGAGGGACGAGGAGGGGTGCTTGAGGTGGTTCAGACATGTAGAGAGGATGGAACAAAATAGAATGACTTCGAGAGTGTATATATCTGTAGCAGAGAGAAGGCAGGGTAGGGGTCAGCCTAGGAAAGGTTGAAGGTAAAAGTAAAGGAGGTTTTGTGTGCGAGGGGCTTGGATTTCCAGCAAGTATGCGTGAGCGTATTTGATAGGAGTGAATGGAGACTAATAGTTTTTAATGCTTGATGTGCTGCTGGAGTGTGAGCAAGGTAACATTTATGAAGGGATCCAGGGAAACCGGCAGGCTGGACTGAGTCCTGGAGATGGAAAGTAGTGTCTGCACTCTGAATGAGGGGTGTTAATGTTGCAGTTTTATAACTGTAGTGTAAGCACACCTCTGGCAAGATTGTGATGGAGTGAATGATGATGAAAGTTTTTCTTTTTTGGGCCACCCTGCCTTGGTGGGAAACGGCCGATGTGTTAATAAAAAATAATTTTTCTCTGATGTTGAACTGAAGAAAACTTTATTCTTGCCGTCATTCCTACAAGCCATCTGGCTACCACATCTCGTATTTATGTTAATTTATTCTATTGTAGGGTGTATTTATCATGTTTATATGTTATGTAGCTTGTTTATTATATAATATTGAAAAAATATCATAGATGGATTAATGGAAATGTCTATATTAACATAATACGACATTTAATGCACCTAAGAGATTATTATATGGCGTCAGGAGTAGAGAGACTTAGTGATTTTAATGTGTACCTGCACACCAGCAAAGTGTGCAAGTGTATTTAGGTACAGGTACACAAGTATAATTCTCAGAGTAAAATACAGTGTACATATACATATAAAATATTCTAGGTTATAGGTAGGTAGACAGCAACCATCCAGGGAGGTACTACGATCCTGCCAAGCGAGTGTAAAATCAAAACCTGCAATTGTTTTACATGATGGCAAGATTTCAGGTATGTATTGTTACTTCAACTTACACTTAGATCAAACTACCCATGCAAGTACAAGCATATATATACAAACCTCTCTGGGTTTTCTTCTATTTTCTTACTACTGCCTCCCAGCATACATAAGGGGGATTACCAATAGACCCCTGGCTATCTTCAAGCAGGCACTGGACAAGCACCTAAAGTCGGTACCTGACCAGCCGGGCTGTGGCTCGTACATTGGATTGCATGCAGTCAGCAGTAACAGCCTGGCTGATCAGGCTTTGATCCACCATGAGGCCTGGTCACAGACCGGGCCGTGGGGGCGTTGACCCCCGGAACTCTCTCCAGGTAAACTCCAGGTAAACTACTACTTGTTCTTATTTCCTCTTATCTCCATGGGGAAGTGGAACAGAATACTTCCTCTGTAAGCCATGTGTGTCGTAAGAGTCGCTAAAATGCCCGGAGCAAGGGGCTAGTAACTCCTTCTCCTGTATACATTACTAAAATTAAAAAGAGAAACTTTTGTTTTTCTTTTTGGGCCACCCTGCCTCAGTGGGGAAAGATCGCATTGTTGAAAGAAGACATAAAATATGGAATAGCTTTAAAACACTTGAAATTCTGGAAAGTTTCCAGACATAATAGATGTGCTTACAGAGAATGTTAAAAACTGGGTGGGACATGCTGTATTTGAAAGACAGGGAGCCATATAGCGAGTTTTGGTCATAATTTGAAACTGCCATATTAGTGGAATGTCATAAGGTGAAATGCCATAAAGTGGGGCCCTACTGTATATGTACAGCCTCTCCTCACTTAGCGATGTACTTGTTTACCGATGTCTCAGACTTACAATGGGCCCTATGACCAGATTTCATATAAATAATGTATATGCATATTAGTACTGATTTCCTCTATTCTGTTTATTTCAGTATGCAGTACCTACTGCATAAACATCTAAAAATATACCAGAAATGTTATAAATGGTGCAAAGGCGACATTGAAACAATGTCAAAGATAGCTGACAGACACTCGCTACCATTATAGTATGCTCCTCACTTAGCGACGAATTCATTTAATGATGTGGTCTTAGGAATGGAAATCTGTTGTTAAGTGAGGAGAGGCTGTAATTTTATACATTTCTCTATTATGACAAGATTATTTACTTAGTTCTAATTGTATTCTTCCTATGAGCTCACAGAATTTGCAGTCTTGAATTTCTCAAATAGTGTGCCATCATTCACAATCTTCTACTTCCTCCAGAATTGCAGACAATGCGATCCAAAAAATACTCTCCTCACATAATACTGCAAGACTTCTCATTTTTTCTATAGGAAATACAACTGACAGTCATGCCAGTGTAGCAGTGCATACATCAGATATGAGACATAACCAGAATGGCACCCAGGAAAGCTCCTCACTTAGCGGCGAATTCATTTAACGACATGGTCTCACGAATGGAACTCTGTCATTAAGTGAGGAGAGGTTGCATATATGTACGTGTATGGATATTCTTCTTCTTTCAACAAATTGGCTGTTTCCCACTGAGGCAGGGTGGCCCAAAAAGAAAAACAAAAGTTTCTCTTTTTAACTTTAGTAATGTATACAGAAGAAGGGGTTACTAGCCCCTTGTCCTTGGCATTTTAGTTGCCTCTTATGACACACATGGCTTACAGAGGAAGAATTCTGTTCCACTTTCCATGGAGATATTCAGAAATAAATAAGAAAAAATCTAGTAAAATAATTTAAGAAAACACAAGGGTGTGTGTATATATATATATGCTTTTACATGCATATGTAGTGTGACCTAAGTGTAAGTAGAAGGAACAAAATGTACCTGAAATCTTGTATGTTTACAAGACAGAAAAAAAGACACCAGCAATCCTACCATTATGTAAAACAGTTTCAGGCTTCCGTTTTACACACACTTGGCAGGACGGTAGTACCTCCCTGGTACTATCGACTAATGTTCTGGAAGAAAGGGGCTAGTAACCCTGTCTCCTGTATACACAGTATTACTAAATTTAAAAGGAGAAATTTTTATTTTTTCCTTTTGGGCCACCCTGTCTTGGTGGGATATGGCCAGTTTGCTGAAAAAAATGATTTGTGTGTATATTGTAGTTATTTATAAAGAGCACCATATCCTTATACATTATCCCAAAAAATAACATTTTAGTACATACCTGTTTTTATCTTCTACACCTGATGGTAACTCGTCATATTTTGGCATATTCACCGGAATAGTTCCAAACTCTTCATATACACCATCGATGTCAGAGATAAAGTGAGTAAGCTTGGCAAAGTTCAGGAGGCGTGTGGGGCCATTCTAAGGATAAAGGCAAGATACAGATTTTAGGAAACATTTAAGTAGGCATCGGAATAAGTTATCTCATCATCCAAGTGACCCAAGTGTAATTGATGGCTTTCTGGAACTGGGCAAATTAAAATACTAAACTGAATATTTTTATTAATTCCAATTTTGTAGAGTTCAAATTTTTAACAAGGAATCATTGTGTTCAGTGGCATTCGAAGATGAAGGAAACAAGTGAAGAATAATAAAGATCTTTAAGGATATTTTCCAAAGGAAATAAGATTAAAAATCTCAAAATTAAAAAAAATAAATGGAAGAAAGAAGGGAAAAGACTAAATAATATTACAGAAAATGGGAAAACAAAAAAGTTGAATTAGAAAGAAGAAAGTTGGGAGAACTGGAAAGGCAGATCAGTAGAAATATTTTATAAGAGACTATGTATGGGAATGGAAAGAAGGGGAGAATAACTCCAGCCCAGAAATCCACATCAAAAGAGGCAAGAGTTAAAATATTTGTGCTAAAATAAAGGAATATGTGTGCTGTTAACCATTACCATCAGCAGTTCAGTATACTTACTGGATCATCAAAGGCCTGGTTTAAGTAAGACTTAACAGATCTGCCAGAAGCTCGTCTCTTGCTCTTACGTCTAAAGGAGCGATATACAGAAACACTGTCCATACTGTAGGCATCCATGCTGACAGGTGTGCATCGACGCCCATAATAGTTGTTTGTAGAGCCTCGTCTCTTGACGACCATCTTAAGAACGTAAGGAAAGCACTTCTGAATCATTTTTATATTCTGCATATTGAGTATTAATACATATTTTTTGTCAATTTGGATTTTTAAGCTAATTTTATACATGGAATGATATTTCAATGTTGAGATTAATATACAGTGGACCCCCGGTATTCAATGGCATCGGTATTCGATAAATCCGGTATTCGATGCATTTTAACGCAAAAATTTTGCCTCTGTATCCGACTGAAAACCCGGTATTTGATATGATTCATACGAGACGTGTCCACGTGTGGCCTGAACTGCCCCTTGTGTGCCAGTGTTTACAAGCCAGCCAGTGTGCGCGCATCTAAGGATACATTCGGTACATTCCATATTATCCATATTATCACTGTTTTTGGTGCTTGTTTCTGCAAAATAAGTCACCATGGGCCCCAAGAAAGCTAGTGCCAACCCTGTGGTAAAAAGGGTGAGAATTAGTATGGAAATTAAGAAAGATTTTGAAGGGTTTGGGGCTAACCCTGAGAAGCCTATGCCAGTTGTGGAATCCATTGTGCCTACTTCAAAAATTAAGGAAATGTGTGCACAGTGGGTTGAAGTGCAAACCTTTATGAATGAAAATCGCCCTAACACAGCTATTGTAAGCCGTGCTGGTGACTATTACAATGACAATGTTGTGGCCCATTTTAGACAAATCGTAAAGGAACAGGAGGTACAGAGCTCTATGGACAGATTTGTTGTGCGACAGAGGTCCAGTGACTCAAGCTGGTCCTAGTGGCATTAAAAGAAGAAGGGAAGTAACCCCAGAAAAGGACTTGCTACCTCAAGTCCTAATGGAAGGGGATTCCCCTTCTAAACACTAACACCATCCACACTCTCCCCTCCTCCCATCCCATCAATCATTGCCAGATCTTCAATAAAGGTAAGTGTCATGTAACTGTGCATGTCTTCTTCAGTTTGTGTGTATTAAAATTAATATTTCATGTGGTAAAATTTTTTTTTTCATACTTTTGGGTGTCTTGCACAGATTAATTTGATTTCCATTATTTCTTATGGGGAAAATTTATTCGCTTTTCGATATTTTCGGTATTCGATGAGCTCTCAGGAACGGATTAATATCGAATACTGGGGGTCCACTGTATTAGTGCATCTTTGAAAGTAACTGTCATTTGAACCATTTATGCTGATTTCAGTCATATAATACATATTGAATAATGAAAAGTTAATGTGTGTGTGTGTGACAGGAAGAGCCCCAGGATATGCCCATTTGGAATGTTCCATATCCATTCATACAAACTTGCCTTGAGACCCAGCAAGGTCCACCTTATGCTTTTTGTTAAATAATACTCCTACTTCAACTCTTATCACATGCTGATGCTCCCTTGTTATAGGCAGTGCCACCTGGGACCCAGGCTGTACCCAGTCAAAAGTACTCTCCATCAGTGTGTGGTTGGACATGCCTGATTCTCAAGACATTACAACCCCTTGTCAAACAGGAAATATACAGATGTGAAAAAAAAAGTTCTGTCATATTTCAGATAAACCAGCTGTTTTTCTTTGTTGCTATTTCTTTGGGAGGAAGCATTGAAGACCATCTTATTTCCATGAATGACATTATCAATGAATTTGAATCTTTCTGCATGACATTACTTTGTAGGAGCTTAGAACTGGATACAGCATTCCATCTTCACATTCTGCACAGCCTCAGTTGCAGTAAAGAACTGCACTCTAATTTTATCTAGAACAACCAAATCTACTTTTCTTAAATGGATAGCCCATTCCTCAATCCCACAAACAATGGAGCTGACATCTTTGGTGAATGGGGCATGCAACACTTGGAGCTGGCCATGATCATGCGTGTCTAGCTACCTTCCCAAGGGTTGGTACCCATCTTCAAATTCTTCTACGGCCCTTGCAACATCTGGTTAAAATGTGTATAGTTTGTGTAATATAATCTGCATTGTCATCTTCAAATGACATCATTATGCCTGCCCTTGTGTCCCCGTATATCATGAAACTCTGAGAAAACTCACCTTGAGTCACGTAAAGTGGACCATGGTGTCAACTTTGACTCTTAGCTGCTAGACTGATAGAGATGGGTGAAATCAGCCACTTTCAACACTAGTGCCATTTTCTCATTCATCCATGCCTCTTCAATGTGGGGGACTAACTCAGCAAAGACAATGCCTCATACCTTTCTCTCCTTTTTTCTTTGCATGTATCAGCCAGAAATTTTCTTGCATAGTTGCACAGTTCAGTCAAGTACTTAATATATTTGTATTCAAAAGCACACATTTTCAGAGCACAAAATTTGCCCAGTAGTGTGCCTTCTAGAAGTGCTGTGCATGTTCATATTAATTTGTCTATTTGAAATGTTGCTGCTTTATGGAGATTGTGTAGAAGAAACAAGCTACTTGGACTGACTTTCTTATACATGAAGAAAGTGAATGTAACCTCGCATGTTTACACGAAAACTGGTGCAACACTGCCTTCATCTTCCATCTTGAGCATTTTATTTTCAGTTCTTTTCTCAGTTAAGCATTGTACTAGAGTGTGCATGAATGGTAATACTACGAAGAGTTTGCATCCATGGCTGCTTCAGTGCTCTGGCTATCAATAAAAATGCTGGCCGTAGTATTCTCGAGAGTTATCCAAGATGAATGAATTTGATCAAATTCTCTGCAAGTGAACTGTATCCACTGTACAGTACTGTCAATGATATTTCAGTGGTTCTGGTTTTGTCTTCTTGTCAAATCAGGCACAGCCTCCAGTCGATCTGAGCTGGAAATGAAGCCGTTGAAGGATCTGAATAGTCATCATCTACAATGAAGCTCTTGGAAATGTTTGATTTTTATCCATTTTAATCAGTGGTCTTATAGAACCTGGATAATGGAAAGTATTCAGTATCACTCCAAGGAAGGGAAGGATAAGTATAATTCCCTGGATCAAGATCCCTTCACTGGTATCTATTCACCTCGTTAAGTGCATCTTTTGTTCATCAACAACCAACACCATCAGTCTAGAAACAATCTTTATTACCATCCATTACCAGACTTATCAGTGACACTTAAATTCTACAATATATTTAACTTACGGTAACTATTACCACACATCACTAACACCACCAATGACCAAAACAATCCTCTATCAACTACCTGCTACCAGATACCCAGTTGGTATTCTGTATATTTACTGCCATTATGCTTTCCTCAGTACCTCACTTCTTAGTATTTTAAAAAATTGGTCCATTCAGTCAAATTTAGATGATTTGCTATTTCCTAGGACCCCTTTGGACATTTAAAAGTCAATTAATACCCACTTTCAATATCTAGGCCTTTCCAGTTGAGTAGGTATGTGAATTAATAGTTACTAGAAATTCTTCACAATGTGTGTTCAAGTGCTAAACTGGATGCTTTTATCACAAGGTTACAAAATTCGTATATAGCATTCATTTAAGTTTCCCCACTATATGCAAGCAGAGGCTAAAACAAACTTGATGAATAAGACACAGTAGCAAGTGTTGCTACTGTGCCTTATTCACCCATATGTCGGTACTGTATACCATCCATAAGAGGATAAAGCATGCTTACAAAGAAGAGAAGAGCTGCAATAACTGTAACACCAACAATGCTGCAGATAACAATGATGACAATAGCGGAGGTGCCAACTGAAGCCTCTTTTTCTTGTAAGGGATTGGTGTTTGTAGGACCACGATCATCGTGCTTAGCTGTCATCAACTCCAACTGTGACACCTAAGAAAGAGGAATAATTTTAACTTTCATGTCTCTACACATATAACATTTTTTTTTTTTGTGATATGACAAAAAATTTAATCACTGTCTTTTGCAGAAATCTCTCATATCATCTTAAGAATATTAAGAAAAAACTGACCTTCGGTTTCAGGTAGGTCAGGTCTTCACTAATTTTGATGTCCATTGGAAAAAGTGGAAATTGTTTAGTGAGATTAGGGTTGATTTTGCCAGCACTAGTGACGTAGAAGTACACATTTGTTTTATTGACTTCAGATTGAGGATGACTGTGTTCAACAGATGATGGTTTATGCACACTGCAATCTGGCATGTTGAAAAACTCAATTTCATGAGGCTCCACATACCTGCAGATGATCAGGCAAGAAGCAAGAAAAGGTAAAAATGTGTTTCTACTAAATAATTTGATTTAAAAATAAAGCAAAAATATAAGTACTTGGGGTTGATATTTTGAATTTCATTAACTATACATGGGAAACTGTCGTTGGAAAATATATAAAGATTTTCATATGCTATTAATAATGATCTTTGACAATCCTTTTGTACTATTTTAACTACTGTATAGAACTACAATATTAAACACAGATATACTAACACTTTTCCTTCCAGATGCCGACTAATCCACTGTGAAAGCAGTGAACGGAAGTTTTTCTTGTGGTGACAGAATTCTCCATTACTGTAAGCTACAAGAGCCCTGATGAAAGGAAGCTGACACTTTACCACAGTACCATTTGAGAGTGTTTCTAATGTAGTGAGAGATGGTGTTGTCTCTGTTAGGAGTCAGAACATTTATAATTAAATAAAATAGAGATATAGGGCTGAGCTATTCAAGACTGTATGTTTACCTAAAATTTTGAGATTCTAATTAATTATCTTGAAAAAATTTGATTTTGGTATACTATATATAAAAGAAATGTATTTTGTTGTACTTGAAGCAGGTAAGGTACACACACAGCAGAAATATAGAAATATTGCTAAATAACGTCCTACAATAAGAGACAGGTTAAATACAAAATTATTTGGTGAACAAAATAGCTGTTAACAGAGAAGCAAGCTTATTGTGACAATGCTTTTCGATAGCAAATAGCAACACTAGCAGGACTGAAAGCAAAAACGTCATCAGAATGCAAAAGCATTGTCATTCATAAAAAGGGCAAACATTAAATGTTAAATAGGAAACAAAACTTACTTTGGTATTACACAAAGATCATAGAAAGCAATATTAATGTAAATTGCTGAAGGTAATCAGAGAAAATTAAATAATGTTCATTCCAAGTACTAAAACAACATTAATCAACATTTTACTTGTCCTAATGCATGATGTTTTCCTGGGTTCTAATACAGTTTATAAATTTTGCCAAATATGATCATCAGCCATTTCGGTTCAAGTCACTAATGCAGTGACACGACTCATTATTATGAGGCAGCTCTAAACACATAAGAGTCTTCTAATTTCTGGGGAATGGGACAGACATGTTAGAAGGGAAGGGTAGGTCTAATACTTTGAACCCTTAAAATAGTACAGCTCTTCAATATCAACAGATTAAAAATGTATATTTTTATTACACAGATCCTACCGGTTGGGGTTATAAAGATGGGCACTTCACTTGAGGATGTTGTGGGAACTGCTGTGGTGGTGGTGGTGGTGGTTTGTGGGATTGTGACTTTAGTTGTGCTTGTCTTTGTTGCTGTAGTAGTAGACATTGGAGATTTCACTGTTACAGGTGTGGGAGTGCCAGATGTTGACGAGGAAGATGACCTTTCCACTGTTGTCGATTCTTTAAAAATAGAAAAAGAAACTTACTTTGGGCCTAAAGACTACTAGAAATTTCTGAAACATCAATCCAGACAAAAATTAATAATGTAATTTTATTTTATTTAAGATGTGAGAACTTAATATTCAAAGGTTAGCTATACATCCTATTTCATTCAGTATTGCATTTGAATGTAATAAATTTCTCACCCTTCTCAGGAGATTCTCCATGTGTGCCACCTTCAGTACCTTCAATGGGTTCTTCTAGATGTACATGTGTGGAACTTTCAGTGGCGACACCTATGGCTGTCGGGGCAACCAATATTTGTGAGTCCAAGTTAGAGCTAGCGAAGGAAGTGGGGAGAGTAGCTACAGATGCTGAGGACATGGGGATATCATGGGTAATTGTGGATTCCGAGGACTCTAGCAAGACAGAAGCAAGTGGGGGTAATGAAGATTTGCTTGTTATATCTGTTGCTGATGGGGTAACTGAAACTGGTATGCCAGAAGAGCTTGGGAATATTTCTGGAACAAACATAGTTGGGAAAGAAGGTAGTTTTTCTGTTACTATAATAGTGGGTTCAGGGTTTGTCTCTACCACTGAGGATTTTTCCTCAGAAACAGCAGAACTGCTTGAGGGAGAGGTTGATACAAGTTCTGTGAATGCTGTAACCAGGGGTATGGAGGTATGTTCATTCTTCAAAGGGGTGTAATCTGCTGTAGGGAAAGCAATAGGAGAAGATTCAACTTCATAATTTTCAATAACACTAGAGGTTAAATATTCATCTAGAACCGAAGGTTCACTAAGCATGGCACTCTCTGACTCGCGGCCATTTTCCTGCTCAATAGAGGTAGCAAAGAAATCAGAGACAGAAGTAGAGGGTGCAATTTCTGTGCTGAAGTCATCAAATGGTGCAGTGTGTGTGGCAGTGCTCTCAACTAATGCAGTGATAGAAATTGGGAAAGGAATGCTGCTAATATCAGGCAATATGTCACTATTTTCAGTAAAAATACTAGGCTGAATAGTTTCACTCCTAATTGGTGTAAAACCGCCAGTCATTTCTGGGGACATATGAGAAACATTTGCAGTAATAAGTGTTATTGGAGTTAAAGAGGCTACTGGCATACTCTGAATAGTGTTTTCTGTTGATTCCAAAACAGGCGTCCAAGTGGCACTATCAGTCAGAGGTGTCACTTCATTTACTTCTGTCAGACTGACCAAAGATATTGGTTGAAATATTGTTTGTGAAGAATATGGAATTTTACTCTTTGAAAATTCGGTATCTAAATTTATAGCATCACTTGAGGCTATTTCTATACTCTCGGTAACAAGAGGTTTAGAAGTAAAGTAATCTGTAATGTCTTCTGTAGGAAAGATAGACAATGAGGCAAGATTAGGAGTGGTGTATATTGATTCCTCTGGATAAGGAGTGAAAATTACATCTGTTAAGCTGTCGCTTTCGAGTGTGGGCTGGACACTAAAATCATTTAAACTGGTTGTTGGTGACTGTGCGAAAGTCTCGAGTATGTCCTCAGTGCTAAGTGTGGAGGGAGTAAGGGTAGGAGCTGAGGAGACTTCCGATTCTAATGCTTCAGTTATACTCGCGTCGTTGGGAAATCTGGAAGTGACAAAAGCAGTAATGGTATTGGAAGCTGGGGTAATGGCTGAAGATGTTCGCTGCGTGCTTAATGGCTGTGTATTTACAGTTCGAGAAGGCGATGACTGCGATAAAAGCATCCACAAGGGGGTTCTAGAGGAGTTTGCAGCCTGCGAAGTACGTATAAAAGTTGGCTTTACACTACCCAGGGCATTTGTTCTTGTAGTTGTTACTAGCCCACTGCCACTAGCAGGGATGGATGGAGTTCGAGAAGTGGTGGTGGCAGAAGAGACAAGTTGTAGATCATCTATACCTGGTAACACTGAGTCAGTGCTAGTAGATTCATCAACAGAAATGTCACCGGCTGTCGTGGACTCGTAGTAATCGTCATCTCCAGGAGAATCTAGATGATCCTGTGGAGGTTTTTGTCCCGTGGTTTGTGGGCTCAAATCTTGGGCTTCATCAGCAATGACTGTTAAATTATCACCATTCAGTTCATCTAGGTTAATAACTTCACTCCCTACTACCCCGTTAGGTATAACAGAAGATAAAGAGGGAGTAAAGTCTGTAGCTGGAGTAGCGGCTTGAGTATGAGATACAAATGTAACTTCAGCTTCTGCGAACATTGATGAATGCGAATTGGATAGTGAGGGGGTGACAGTAAATGGTCTTGCAGCTTCAAAAAGTGCGCTGGATTGCAGTTCTGAAATGCTTGAGGATAGTTCAATAACCGGTCGGTTAAAGTCGGGCTGAGTAGAAGGTGAGGCTAAACCTGACAAACTGAGGTCATCTTGATCAAACAGAGGTCCTGGAACAGGTGTTGGGGCAACTGAAGGTAGATCAAAGAAGTATTGTGTGACTGGAACTTTGCTTACTGTAAACGATGGCAAAATCGAAGGCACTTGTGGAACAGAAGAAACTGAAGGAAGAGCAATTGCAGTTGGTGGAGGGTCAGTTGGGAATCTTATTGTTGGCCTTCGTGATGGTCTGCTACCATTATCCAAAAGATGCGAGGGCCAGTTAGGCAACCACTCATCTTCATCAGTGAGAACACGAACTAATGATGACGGTCGAGTAAATGCTGCAGACTGCTCAGGAACTGTTGGTGTGAGTGATACTTCTCCAGAGAATATAATGCGGCGTGTCAGCTGGGGTACAGTTGTAGTGCTTACAGCTTCTTTGAAACTATCTATCGTCATCTCGAGGTCAGTGGGAGACTCGAAATATTCCATAACTCCCATTCTCTTGTTAAGTCTGTCATCATGAAGAACACTAGAATCTGTAGTAGCTTCTAGTTCATCTGTTAGGTCTTCGAAGTCTGGAATGGTTGTATCTTCTGCAGGCTTGGTAGTAGTTGTCGTGAGATCATCTGACGTGAGGGCGTTGTGACTCTCTGCATCTTCGGTCGTCTCAGCATCATTAGTAGCGTTAATAAGAGAGTCGGCATTATTTTCTGCTATACTCCCAGTTACATCAAAGTCTCCGATGAGGAAGGAATCGGCGCCCCCAACGCTCAGCTGTCCTTTCACAACTGTAAATTGAAACACATTTAACACATGATAATGATATGCCAAAACAAAATACAATATAATGAATAATTTGTCAGAAACGTTATTAGTAAATTAGCACAACATGTGCTTTTGTATATTTTGTCATCAACGATCACTTCATAATTAGATAATATCCCAATTATCAACAGCAGTAGTAGATGCAATAACACGAATAAGAAAATCAATACTAGAAACAACAGGTACTACAAATGCAGGAATAGAAACAGGAACAAGAAAATAATAGCAAAGAGGATAAAAAAAGTATATAGGAAAGTATATACATTCATCAACAACAGGAACTATAACAAAATCAATATATAAAATTAACCTTAGTATCAACAAGAACATAAATAAGACAAGAAACGCTAGGATTAAGATCAGTGCGAAAAAAATAAGGACGACTTAAATCGAAATAAGAGTTAATGAATCATCTGCCCAGTTTATCTATACTTCCATGCCATTGGATTGTCATAAATATACAACTGGCACACGACTATCATGCAATGTAGTATTTGTTAATTATACCTTCCCATCTCGTAAGCTTTTGGGACAAAGCCTCGTGAACCCCTCATTCCAGCCTCTGTAATGCAGTATGTTTCCGACAGAAGCTTACAGGTCAAAACCCACATTCCTTTTCGAGTTTACACTTCCAATCATAATACCTGCATTTCTCTTTCGAACTATACATGACCAATGATTATCCTGAAGCCTGCAAGATAAGACCCGCATTCCAATTAGTTTGTTACATGATTATTCAGTACATCCACTCACGTGTTCAGTTTCCAGCGAAGACCGTGGATTGACAAGTCATACCTTTCAAGGACGCTGGAATGATGAGAAACTAACTATATTTACTTGTTACATCCACGGCCATTACTACACAAAAGAAAGAAAACAAGAAAACGAATGAGGTGGGTCACTAAAAACCGGATGTATGCTTCACGTTTAATGTCTCGGCAGTCATTAGTTGGTTCCACTCCACCACCTCGCAACCACCTTACGACGATATTTATCTTACGTCTCGAAACTGGTTGACAGGAAATGGTCGAAGAAAATATCACGATTTGGCTCTAAATCTGTTACGTAAACTTCTATACGGTGACTGGAAGGCTATCTGTGTAGACAAGGAAAAAAATAGAGAGCTAGTAAGGGAAGCAGAAAGAGGGAGAGTAAGGCTGGCAGATACATGTGGTATCTAATAACTGACAGGAAAAGAAGCCCTTAGCTTATTAAGGTTTACAAGCTAAATATAGCTAATGACATTTCAGCTGTTATTTCAAATTCGAAATATGCATGAAAATCCTAATATTATTGTGATATGTGATTTCAAGATATAAGGACCTGCCTTGCATGGGCCAGTAGGCCTTCTGCAGTGTTCCTCCATTCTTATGTTCTTAATAGATTTTGGAAAGCCGTTATTGGTGGAATTACTCAGATTTATCATATGGATAGTTTACGATACAGACAAGTTGATGAATAAGACATGTATAACACTTGGGTAATGGGTTTCTTTATTGCTCAGATGTCCGTACACTGCACCTGCGTTTTAATCACCTACTTAGATTCAATGCACTAACTAGAAAGAATATTATAAAGAGCCCCTGTTAAAGTTAATTTTACCTTGTTTAATAATATTACATTTGACGTACAGAGCAAATCTCTCTCCGATGACTTTATCTAGTATGAAGCATTATTCAGTTCAAGTACTGAATACCAAAGTTTGTAGAAGAGTGCCTTCAGCATACTTTTACATGCTATTTCCAAAAGTTTAAGAAACTCGTCAATCAAAACAATTTTTCTTGATCTAAAGAAAACTCACGGAGAAAAAAAAAAAACTTGTTCAAATTAGTGCTATATAATTTATTGAAAAACACTTCAAAAGACTACTGAAGAAAATCTCCTTTTGATGTCGAAACATACAAGACCTTTGAAGTACCGTAGTCTCTTTTATGTTTATTTGTATCAACGACCAGAGTTTACTACACTTTTGTGCCTGAAAATTGTTCGTACTTGGGGCAAAAGCCCCACACATGAAATTCGTATTTCATTTTCGATCCGACTCTAGACAATGCATTATGTCACGGCTACAAGCAAGAGCATTGACGAACGCTATAAAATTCCATATCTCAATTTTGAGTTGAATAGCGTGATCCCAGCCATCTTGCCTGTAGCCAAGAGAGCACTGAAGAGTAGTTCCTGTATACTGAATGTGAATCATCGTCACAAGCTAGTTATAGTATTTCTTCAAGTTCTTTTTGAGGAAGCTGGTTGTCAGAATGGTCTTTTACGTTGACAAGTGTTCATTACACTTTAGTTATCCTTACACGCAATATTATGTATATACATGTATATATATATATATATATATATATATATATATATATATATATATATATATATATATATATATATATATATATATATAGTGTGTGTGTGTGTGTGTGTGTGTGTGTGTGTGTGTGTGTGTGTGTGTGTGTGTGTGTGTGTGTGTGTGTGTGTGTGTGTGTGTGTGTGTGTGTGTGTGCGCGCGCGCGCGCGCGCTTACATTTGGTATATGCTATATTTTTTTACTGACTTTCGGTTATATGCTATGTATAGTCTAATTTTAATTAGAACTATGTATATCCACTGACTATATTATATGCTACGTATATATTTACCGAGTTATTTTCTCTTACGCATGTTCATTCACATTTGTTAAAAGCAATGTGTATCCAGTTAATTTTTCTGCTATATACCGCGCTTATTTATTTTTTCCCTTTAATATTCTAAATATATATATATATATATATATATATATATATATATATATATATATATATATATATATATATATATATATATATATATATATATATTATTGTTGACATACGAGTATAACAGTTGACAATCTGAACTAAATGCTGTATCCTCTGACTTTCATAAAATGTTAACTGTACTAACATGTCTGTTTTAAATTTAACTTATTAATTAAGCTAATATCTGCATTTGTATAAATATGTTATAAATTTTCAGGCAATGATACTGGGATTTTTCTGTTATTTCTCTAAATGTTATAGTTGTTGAACAATATTTACATATTGTTCAGCAATTATATATGTGCAAAACATATATGTATGCAATTCCCCTCAAGGCAGGTTCCTTCACGCTCTTGACTTATGGAATTGGATCTCTGCTTCAGTTCCCTGAATTGAGCCTGAATGCCTTCCCTCCCCCCTCCCTCCCTACAGGCGCTGTGTATTCCCTACGGTTTAGCGCTCCCCATGAGTATAATTATGTATACAGTTATATTATATTATATATATATATATATATATATATATATTATATATATATATATATAGTTATATATATATTATATATAATTTATATATATATATTATTATTAGTCAGGATTCGTCATACAATAGTTGATTAATACCCTGGTATTTATTTACTATGTGAACATGGGCAGTTAGTATGAGGAGTCTTGCCTAAAACTCACCTGGCAGTAAACAAATACAGAAAAAAACAGGCACTCTGGAAAAAAGAGTCAGAAGGCGAGACCAAAATATATCTGGTGTAATAAAAGGGTAAATAAGTGGGAGCAAATTCTCCATGGCATTCCTTAAGACACCTGCTGTCCATGTTCACCCATTAGTAAAATGGGTACCTGGGTGTTAGTCGACCGGTGTGGGTCGTATCCTGGGTAAAAATTGACCGAATTTGCCCAAAATTATTTGCATAACAAGGGACTTTCTATATAGTAGCATGTCATTGATGTTAGCTAGGCCTGTATACCTTGTACATGTCTTGTAGAAATAAAGACATTATTATTACTGTACCTCCCACTGCACTTCCACCCAGCCCTTTCACCCTGCTCCTGCCTCTTCCCCCTCCTCCCTCTCCCTTCACCCTGCCTCATTATCCAACCCCTCCACCCCTTCTCATCACCTTGTCCTTCCACACTGTTCATATCCTTCAATTCATTACCGGGAGTGTAGTGAGGCAGGTGAGGAAGCGCAGGTGTGAAGCGACACATTCAGAGGTGGATGACCTACGCACGCCACACCTACCAAGGCTGCGTACACTCAGACTTAGGGGGAGAAACATGCTGAGGTAGCTGCCGCGGTAAATTACTGTTCTTGGGTAAAGGACAGGGTACGAAGGTGCAGTGACATGTTAATTCCATAACCAGTAATATTGACCATTAAGTTTTAGACATTCAAAACAAAGATGCATACAACCCACCGTTTAACAAAGAAGAATTTTACAAAATAATTAAAGTCTCCTTTCATATTCGTCGTTTATTTAAAGTGGTCAAGGTCGAAGGACGGAAAAGACTTCATTAAAGGTGTCCTAAGTCAATGAATTCCTGTCCATTTTACCTCAATTTGTCGGCAATCGTTTGCGCTCTTACAAAATAAATTAAGGGATTATTTAATTTAAAAATTCTGAAAAAAGGCCTATTAAAAATAATACACCTTTCACTTAAAATGAAATAAACAGACTAGTTTATGAGGCTGAAACTGAAAATAAATCAACCAAATTTCTTAACATGGCTTTTCTTTATTAACCACGTCGAGTATTAAGCCTTTAGGGAAACAGATGATACAGATGAAAAAGAAATGAACGAAACACTGAGGACACATTACGATTCTGTGTTCAGTGGAGGTTGACAACCCACAATTTTTTTCACGAGTGCAACACAAAACTATTAACATTTCTGACACGACTCTAACCTCACCTGACTTTGCAAAAGCCACCTTTGATGTCATGTTCTCTGCGCCAGCCCCAGATGTATGTACCCTTATAATAAATTGCAAAATACAGTAATACAAACATTATCTTCTAAGATTCTAGACAAACGTCATCCCATAAGTTCCATTAATTACTGAATGAGCCCCATACCATAAAGGCAGCAATAAAGTAATAATAAAATATAGACTGGTAGCACTAACATTACTTGTTCGAAATAAACGAGTGTTGAGAAAACCGTAAAACATTAGGAATCACACAGTAACAGAAGCCACATCCATGTGTGTTTAGAACAGGACGCTGACTCTTGCAACTACTGCATTATTAAACGGTTTCTGAAACATACTCGAATACTAGCAAGTTTCTGACTATGATTCTGCTATATAATAAGAGCACCATCAATGGAAGCGAGAATGAAGAATATAAAGCTACACAAATAACCCGCACATAAAAGAGAGAAGCTTACGACGACGTTTCGGTCCGACTTGGACCATTTACATGTGCGGGTTATTTGTGTATCGTTCCAGTCACGGTACTGTGCCTTTTTTTGTTAATATAAAGCTATTTTTTTCTGACCGTGTAAATTCAAATGCCTTAATTATTGGAATCTCATTGAAATATCCAGATAAGAAAGGAATTTGCTACTGGATGTTATAAAAACAAAAGACAAAATGAGGCAGCATGCATGATTTTAATAGAAAATGCAGAACTATCTGCTCCGAATTTTTCTGATGGGTGCCATTAAAAGAAGGCAAACTGAGAGCCAAATGGTAAACAGTGTTCTGTAATCAATGTAAGTGATAAGAATGATTCTTCTAACTGTAGGCTGTCTCACAGACAAACGCTGTAAAATTTACAGAACTTTATTGACTCCCCCGTAACGGCTAGTTCATGTATCCTGCATATATTCTGTGGATGGGAGCACAGGAATACACAAAGCCTAGGAACTTGGAACATATATAAGAGAAATGCTAGTAGATTGCGAGTTGAAGAATTTTAGTTTCCTATGGTTAAAATGTTAAACAACAATCATGGAAACAACTGTATCAACTAACCTTCGCTTAATTTTCAGCCAGAGAGAAAATGACACTGGGAGGTAGAATATGAAGTACCTAAGAGAGCAACAGAAGAATGCATCCTGATGTTTGACCGCGTACCAGAAGTGAAAACAAGAGAATGGAATAGAGGAAATTAGAATAAATTATTATACTGAATGAGCATGTATGGAAGAATGCAAGCGTCCCTTTCGGGAATGCAGTGATACAACGAAATGAAAAAAAAAATCAAAAGACATAATGGATTATTTAATCCCGAGATTCAAAGGAGCCCCACCCAGATATATACCACTAAAAATACAGTCCTGGCCAGTGGCCTCTTTCCTTTTTGTAACCCTCTTTTTAAGAGTCCTCCCTCCCCCACCATCATGAACTCGATTCCTCTCCCTCCACCATGAGGAAATCGCCTCCGCTCTCTCCCACCATCATGAACGCGCCCCCATCACTAAGCAACCTGTTCCCTTTCCTCCTTTACGCCCCTAACTCTTACATATTCCCTCCTCTATCACCTACTAACCCTATATCCTACGATCTTAAAGCACATTCTTTTAGCACAAACTAAATTTATCTCCATTTATCATTTTCTTTCCTCTTCGTAACATTTTTCCCCTTCCACAACTGGTTAACCACTGGCCATGTCAGAACGTTTATCAGAATCATGCATATGGATACTGAGAATCGAAACTAAAATCCGAGTGAAGACATACACTGGAAATATTGAAGCCCTGGAAACTATGTACCATTAATCAGGAAGAGATGTATTTTCAAGATAATTAAAATCTCTTATTGCAATGACTTCACTGATTACATAACTGGAAAGCTAACCACCGAAGACTTCTCGGCGTTAACAGCTATTATAATGCACCACTAAGCGACAGAAGAACCATGCGTGGATACGTAGCATCAGTAAGGAAGCAATAACTATGAGGCAAACAATACATGAAGCAGCAAGCATGGCCAAGCTCAGGGTCCAAGGAAGTTTCAACCTTCATTGCTAGCACTAGGACTGCAATGAGGCGCGAAGACGCCAGTATATGTCCCAGAAATAGAGAAGAGTTCTTCGTCTCAGCAATGAAGAAATTCCGAAGACAGTACGCCACGAGTCCTGAGACAGTGAAAAAAAAGAGCTGATGAACCATAATAACAAGAAAAGAATACTGAGCAAATGAAGTATGAAGTTTCAGTCGGCCCAAGCGATCACCGAATACTGACATATTGTTACCTAATAATTGTACAACTGAGAAACTGTTTACAAAAATAAACATTACGAAGGAATAATACTATTCCTTGCAAATTCATTGAGACATTTAACATAGCAGAAAAGTCACCTAAGATGATTACATTTTTAACCGGAAATGTAATAAATTTCAGACAAGTTTGAATTAGTTCACAAGAGAACAAAATGCACAGGAAGATCCCTTGGCAAAATTCAACTGAAAATGAAAGGATAGAAAACGCAGGTACAATGGAGCTTTGAAAAAAAAAATGCAACAAAAACTGACAGAAATGAGAGAGAAGCACGAAAGGAAAAAAATCCAGACAAATTCCTCCAGTACTCAGATATGGTAAACATGAGGAAATTAAATCTTCATCAGAGTACAAAACAAATTCTGGCCACAAAATAGAGCGAAACACCAACGTCAAAGACCTGGGAGTGATCATGTCGGAGGATCTCACCTTCAAGGACCATAACATTGTATCAATCGCATCTGCTAGAAAAATGACAGGATGGATAATGAGAACCTTCAAAACTAGGGAGGCCAAGCCCATGATGACACTCTTCAGGTCACTTGTTCTATCTAGGCTGGAATATTGCTGCACACTAACAGCATCTTTCAAGGCAGGTGAAATTGCCGACCTAGAAAATGTACAGAGAACTTTCACGGCGCGCATAACGGAGATAAAACACCTCAATTACTGGAGGCGCTTGAGGTTCCTAAACCTGTATTCCCTGGAACGCAGGAGGGAGAGATACATGATTATATACACCTGGAAAATCCTAGAGGGACTAGTACCGAACTTGCACACGAAAATCACTCACTACGAAAGCAAAAGACTTGGCAGACGATGCACCATCCCCCCAATGAAAAGCAGGGGTGTCACTACCACGTTAAGAGACCATACAATAAGTGTCAGGGGCCCCGAGACTGTTCAACTGCCTCCCAGCACACATAAGGGGGATTACAACAGACCCCTGGCAGTCTTCAAGCTGGCACTGGACAAGCACCTAAAGTCAGTTCCTGATCAGCCGGGCTGTGGCTCGTACGTTGGTTTGCGTGCAGCCAGCAGCAACAGCCTGGTTGATCAGGCTCTGATCCACCAGGAGGCCTGGTCACAGACCGGGCCCCGGGGGCGTTGACCCCCGGAACTCTCTCCAGGTAAACTCCAGGTAAACTCTCCGCCACATACGTGCGATCATTTCTTAAGTATTTCATGTCGGTGGACAACAGTACAGAGAAACACATTGTGAAACTCCAGCAAGTCCAATCGTATACATCACGACTTGTGCCTGAACTGAGAAGACCGAACGACTGGGTATTTTTAAACAAAAGGTTGAAAATTTTTTGACTGAATGTTGCTGATGTGAACAAGCCTTGCTTTTTGGGCCTGTAGACTTACTATACAGATTCATTTATTTTTTTTTTTTTTTGAGGCTAGAGAATGTATCTACTGAACTTGACATGTTTCGGCCTACATGATTTTGTCTCGGGTAGCTAAGAATACCAAACAATTATGATTTAAAAACGTAAAAAGGTAATTCTTTATAAATACATTATCAACTTTTATTTTTTAACGATTCACAAATGTGTGTGATGAATGGTTTGAAAAACCGACAAGTTGAAGATTGAGACACTTATGCAGCATATGGGAATCTTTATTCAGGAAACGTTTCGCCTCATAGTGGCTTCATCAGTCCAATACAAAGAGGAAGGCGTAAGGAAAGGAGGAGTATGAGGTAATCAGTCCCTCAGCCTGGAGTCGATGTGTTCAGTCCATCAATCTTGTAGATTGATGGACTGAACACATCGACTCCAGGCTGAGGGACTGATTACCTCATACTCCTCCTTTCCTTACGCCTTCCTCTTTGTATTGGACTGATGAAGCCACTATGAGGCGAAACGTTTCCTGAATAAAGATTCCCATATGCTGCATAAGTGTCTCAAGATTCACAAATGCTTCACGAATGCGTAAATACGCTGAAAAATGAAACAAAGAAGGGAGAAAAGCTATAAAAATAAAACAGTACAGTATTTTTTTGACTGGGTAACCTCAGGTAATCAGGAAACTTCCTATTAAATTTCAACAGATATCTAAAACTTTAAGAAATGCTGTCCTGTAATTAACGTTTGAAAATTAAAGCGGATATCACGAAATAAAAATAACTTACTATGAGTCAGTAGGAATAGGAGGTGTAGGCAGAGCCATCTAGTGGCTGGCGGCGCCATTGTCGTTCTGCAAGAAATAAAGCATGTGTTATATTCGAGAATTTTCTATAATTTATTGTGTAGCATATTAGCTTGCAAGATTTAAGGTCCATCGATTGCTTGTGGGTCCTACCGAGGGTTATTTAAAGATGAATTAATATGGGGCTTAGAGTTATCGCTATGTATATACACACAGATACACACCTCTCTGTGTATATAACCTGTACATACATGCATTATACACTTGCACTATCCATGTACTGTTTCTTCGGCTGGTCAATTATTAAACGAAATTATTCAGATTTTTTTAAAGACTGGAGATTAGAGAATCAGAAATGTTACAGTTTCACGATGGAAAAATAATTGTAAATCATATGCTGAAAGGAAAGTAAGTAAGTAAGTAAGTAAGTAAATTTATTCAGGTATACACAATACAGAAGTTAGTTCAATCTCTCAAACACACACTGAAAAATATGAAGTATGCGCGGAACTCTATACAAATTCCGAGCGGGTGGACATAACGAAAGCTATAAGAGAGCATAAAATCGTTAGGATAAGGCAACAGATTTTCACTTTGCATCAGCCTGAGGAGACGCCTACCTAGTGCTGACTGGAGTAACCCAGCTCGGAATGGATGGAAAGTAACGGCCGTAAGTTCCTCGCTTGGTACCACTGGGAAGGGTAGGGAAGATGTATATTTTTTCGCCAATTAACACTAGGAACATCATCTCTATGGACAATACGCCGGAGGAACTTATAATGAAACCCGTGCTCAGAGCAGTTAAGTCACGGTTTGCACCCAGTTCCTAAGTTAGGTTTACCTGGAGAGAGTTCCGGGGGTCAACGCCCCCGCGGCCCGGTCTGTGACCAGGCCTCTGATCAACCAGGCTGTTACTGCTGGCTGCACGCAATCCAACGTACGAGCCACAGCCAGTTGTCTTATATCCATAAAATATAAATTATAACATACCACAAAGGAAAAAAAATATACAAATATAGCACGGGTTCTTTGTGAACTCCTCGAGGTACGTGTGGAGACAAATAAAGAGGGTTGGGACAGTTTAAACTGCAATAAATTCTATTTTAAATCTGTTCATAATATTTGATATGCAAAACAACCACTGTGAAAGATTAGAGAAATTCCAAGCACTTTTATGACTTCCTTCATAATGTGAGAAGTCACGAAAGCGCTTGGAATTTCGCTATTTTTTCACAGTGGCTGTTTTGCACATTGTGATATCACCTGTTTACCGTGATCTTATTGAACAAAGGAACACAGGACCCCAGCTACGCCAGTGCCATCGCTGAATGGGAGACTCTTGCTGCAGCACTGGCCTACAAAAGTCAAGTTGGGATGGCCCCATCGCTGAACAGGTGCTTGCCAGCATGTTTATGGTTGTAACATCAGATAGGGAGATTGCTCGTCTCCAAGCTGAGAGTGCACCTCGCTCCGGGGACTTCCTCCAAACAGTTCCCATTTCAGCAATGGGAACACGCCTCGCTGCCCCAATTCACAGTGAATATTAGTGTATTTGCGGTGATGCGCAAGCCGATCAATATGGTATACATGGTCTTAACTGTTCCAAAACCAAGGGCTGGCATGCAAGACACAATGAAGTCAACGACATAATGAAAAGAACCTTGCTACAGATGGATGCCCAGCCAACAGAGAGCCCCGATCACTAGCAGCCAACAATACCCACAACCCAGCAAACCGCCCAGATGGGATCACCATCTATCCTTGGAAAAATGGCAACCTCTTAGCATGGGACTATACCTGTGTCGACGCTGACACCTACATCCATCAGTGTCGGGCGACAGGGAGGAGATGCTGATCACAAGGAGGAGTACAAGATCGGCAAGTACAGGGACATAAGCCAACGGTATCAATTTGTCCTAGTGGGATCTTGGGGAAAAAATGCCACACGTTTCCTTAAAGAACTGGGCTCCTGACTCATCGACACCACCAGGTACTCAAGAACAGCCACTTTCATGTTCCAGTGCCTCAGCGTGGCCATCCAGAGGGAAAATGCATTCTGCATACTAGGCTCGCGTCTGGCTTCTAAGGAGCTGGAGGAGATTCATAACCTTTGATACATTGTACCAATGTATTTCATATTTGTGTTTCTGTCAATGTATTCTGTCTATTAATAAAGTTCACATGTAATATAAAATATAGGGGGGTGGTAGGAGAAGAAAATGTTCAAACAGCTCCGGGGAGAACCTTGAGTTTTCCCTGAGGTACGTTTATTGTCTTCTCTGAGGATGAGGGTCCCCAGTAAAGCTCTAGAGGTGGTACCTATTATACAATATATATATATATATATATATATATATATATATATATATATATATATATATATATATATATATATATATATATATAAGGAGCATGCATTATCTTTGTGAGCCGCTAGTTGGACGTGTCATAGATGTAATTTTGTCTCAAACTTTCTGCACCTGCTACTACTAATAGACACTTAATTATATCGAAGACGACCTGACAAATAATAATGAAGAATATTGCTAGTATGTCATTGCGCAAAATGTTGTACAAGCCGCTCAAGCATGACATGCTTTACAGAAAAATATCTAAAAAAGATATGGGTAAACAAGAGGCAAAAAAACATTTATTGGCTGAGAAGAAATTAAGAGACCTTGAACCTATATTATATTGAAGGATAAAGATTAACTGGGAGATGACCAAAGTGTACAAATTGTCTTATGTAGAGCAAAAGCCCACTACAAAACTAAAACCCAGTGGAACGAAAGCTTCCCCACCTTACCAGGATAGAACTCTAACCGATTCAGCGTTAGAAAAGAGAATGGAAATTACTTGCTATAAACCAATAGATAAGCAGAGCAAGATTCTAGCAGTGTTATTTATGTAAATATTCTGAGGGAATTTACAAATAAGTTAAACAGATATAAGAGCCAGAGTGGTCGAATGTGGTTAATACCTGCTCAACAGGTCATCTGCCTGAATATGTTCTGCCCCACATTCGCAGCAGCAGGGCTTTGCCTGCTGGTGCGGGTGGCCCCACCCACATTATTAATGTGGGCTGGTGCGAGTGTTGGGAAAGAAAGCATTTGTTTGGTTGGAAATAATTTTCTTCTGGGGACCCATAACAACTGTCCTTTGTTAAAAGTAAATAAATCTAAACGCTATTAGAAGACGAAGATGCTCGGAGGAGAATATAAATAGTTCCTATATGTACTGTGCTGGAGCCTGCAGAGAGCGAAACGTTTCAGCAATAAAGATACTCAAATGCTGCACATGGGTCTTTACTTATCTACGTAAAAGACTAGAAAATGGGTGGTCGGAAGTAGAGAGAAAATGAATAAAACACAAGATTAAGAGGAATAATGATTTTGGATTAGAAAGCGTTAACTCGCTCTCTCTGCTTCATGAGACACTCAGAGGAGGGCGAATGTGAAGTGACATGCATGAAAATGTGACAACAAGCTAATCTAAACCAGTGGTTGGAAAGGACAAATGCAGTGCCACTAGACACACGCCAGACTTATCCTATAAGGAAGAGAAGATGCAAACAAGAATGAGAAATAAGCTTCGTTAGTAGAAAAAAAAAAAGTCGCTAAACTGTCCTAAGGTTTCAGACAAGAACAGAGAAAACAGTTAAGGTAACAAAATTACTGAGGAAAAATTTAGAGCATAATATAAAGCTAAGTGAGGGTGTTATGGAGAGAATGATATAAAGGTTAGGTAAGGTAAGTTTGTCAGTAAACAGGTCAAGTCTTAGTCGTATGATGACCTGCAGAATGAGAGAGAGCCATTGGAAAAATTAAATTACCCTAAAATAATTTTCCCCTTTATGCAGAATTCAAGCAAATATAACTTCTGGTATTGAGCTTTAGCTTAATAGAAACAGAATTACGCTTATTATGGACGAAATACCGAGGACACAGTACGACTGTGGTCAGTGAGCCACTTAAGTCTCACCGTCAGTGGCCACCATCTGCGACTTTCCTATTAGAAGCCCCGTAGCTCAGAGGTATAGCGTTGGACCTGTTAAACTCGGGACCACGGTTCGAGCCCTCATTTCCAACCCTCTGTTTATTCACGGACAGTCGTTCATTACGATTTAAACTGTATTCATATAATGCAGCAAAGCAATAAAAAATAAACGAAGATCAACAGCGCTAACATCACATACTGGTGAAAACTTGAAAAAGCGCGAAATCACAATTATACATTCCTGAAGAACATCTTTCGCCACTGACTAGAAATTATGATATAGTTTTGGAAGCACTGGAAGAAAAAAATCTCTGAACGCTACTGATAAAGTACGTCTACGATCAACTTTTCTTGTCGGTCAGGAAACTGAAACCAAACGGAATGCCAGTTTCTTCAGGATTTTTATCTTCTCCTTTATGCAGCATATTGAGTTTCAGTCGTTTTTATCAGTGTTAAATAGTTTATATTATTGTAGAGCATGTAGCACTTCGTAGGAATGTCTCTAGTGATTACTTTAGCTTTGACAGAAACTCGTGAACATAACCAGCATTGAATAAGTTGCTGATAAAAATGAGCGCATTTCTTATCCAAGTGCCGTACCGGCCTTCGTAAGTTAAAATCTCTTCAGCCTTGCACTGCGGCGGCAGCAGGAACTTCCTTGTAGAATCGTTGACAGTCGAATGGACGGAGACACGGACGGTCGAATACACAAATGGACACATACACATAAAATCAATTCTTCAATAACACAGCTCCTGAGTAAAGTCCACATTCAGTCAACCATACAAATCTGCCAGCAGATATATATCTAAACCAACAAAGATTACAGAGAAAGACCGCATGAGCTGAATCTTATAAAAGTTGGAGAAACGGAGAACACGAGAAGATATAATCACGATAAACAAAATTCTCTAGAGAATAGGCAGCCTGTTTTCATTGTCAACGAATCAAAGGATCAAGACGAGCGGGACAGAGATTGAGAACTAAGACGAGTCAAAGACGTGAAGACGCTCTTTTACAACGTTAGGGTTAAAAGAGAAGTGGTACATGAA